GCCCGGGTAAAGGAGGAGGGTTGGGCATGGGGTTAGCGACCCCATCCCGTAGAAAATCAACTCGCTAAAAAACGCCAACCAGAAAAAATCATTCAAACCATTCAAACTCTGCCCTGGGAGTAGAAGGAATAATTATGGCGTCTCATGATGAAAGCCGAGTTCCTTCGGAAGTCATGAGGCCGATGCACCTTCTTACAACCAGAGCGACAATTTTTATAGGTACATGGAATGTCCGGACAATGTGTGAAACCGGAAGAGTCTTCCAAATTGCTGCAGAAATGAGAAAATACAACCTGGAAGTGCTTGAAATCAGTGAAACGCATTGAACGCAGGTTGGACAACAACGACTACGATGAAGACGCTAAAGACCAATTCTACGATAGGCTGCAGTCGATCTTCGAGAAGTGCCCAACCAAAGACCTGACCATTCTGACGGGAGATTTAAATGCCAAGGTTGGAAAGGACAACACTGGATATGAAGACGTCATGGGACAACATGGACTGGGAGAAAGTAACAAAAATGGTGAAAGATTTGCAAACCTATGTGCCTTCAATAAACTGGTCATAGGTGGCACCATATTTTCACACAAAGCCACTTGGATTTCACCGGATCACATTACACAGAATCAAATCGACCATATCTGCATCAACAAAACGTTCAGGAGGACGATGGAGGATGTGAGAACCAGAAGAGGAGCTGATATAGCATCCGATCATCATTTGCTGGTCGCCAAGATGAAACTAAAACTCAAGAAGCACTGGACAACGGGGCGGACAACATCATAAAAGTTTAATACGGCCTTTCTTCGAGATGCTGACAAACTCAACAAATTCAACATAGCCCTCAGAAACAGGTTCACGGTCTTTCATGATCTACTCAATGGAGAGGGAACTACCATGGAGAGCAACTGGAAAGGTATCAAGGAGGCAATCGTTTCAACATGTCAGGAGGTTCTGGGCCAAAAGAAGCACCATCACAAGGAATGGATCACTGTTGGTACACTGGATAAAATTGAAGAAAGGAGGAACAAGAAGGCAGCAATCAATATCAGCCGAACCAGAGCGGAAAAAGCCAAGGCACAAGCCGAATACACAGAGGCAAACAAGCAAGTGAAGAGGAGCATCAGGACCGACAAACGTAAATATGTGGAAGATTTAGCGATGACAGCGGAAAAGGCTGCAAGCGAAGGAAACATGAGACAACTGTATGATACAACAAAGAAACTTGCTGGAAATTACCGTCAACCAGAAAGGCCAGTGTAAAGCAATGAAGGCAAAGTAATCACCGACATTGAAGAACAACGAAACAGGTGGGTAGAACACTTCAAAGAACTCTTAAATCAACCAGCTCCACTGAACCCACCCAACATCGAAGCAGCACCCACAGACCTCCCAATCGATGTTGGCCCACCAACAATTGAAGAGATCAGCATGGCCATTAGACAAATCAAGAGCGGCAAAGCAGCGGGACCAGACAACATCCCGGTAGAGGCACTGAAGGCAAACGTAACAGCAACTGCCAAGATACTCCACATTCTCTTCAGTAAGATTTGGGACGAAGAACAAGTACCAACAGACTGGAAAAAAGGACTTCTCATCAAGATACCAAAGAAAGGCGATCTCAGTAAGTGCGAAAACTACAGGGGCATCACTCTCCTCTCAATACCAGGGAAAGTCTTCAACAGAGTATTGTTAAACAGGATGAAAGATTCAGTGGACGCCCAACTTGGAGATCAACAAGCTGGATTTCGTAAGAATAGATCGTGCACAGATCAAATCGCAACTCTGCGAATCATTGTGGAACAATCAATCGAATGGAATTCATCACTCTACATCAATTTCATCGACTACGAGAAGGCATTTGATAGCGTGGACAAGACAACACTATGGAGGCTTCTTCGACACTACGGCGTGTCTGAGAAGATTGCCAATATCATACGGAACTCCTATGATGGACTAAACTGCCAAATCGTCCACGGAGGACAACTCACCGACTCGTTTGAAGTAAAGACCGGTGTTAGACAAGGTTGCTTACTCTCACCCTTTCTCTTTCTCCTGGTGATCTACTGGATTATGAAGACGTCAACATCTGGAGGAAATCACGGGATACAGTGGACAGGCAGGATGCAGCTTGACGATTTAGACTTCGCGGATGATCTGGCTCTTCTATCACAAACGCAACAACAAATGCAGGAGAAAACGACCAGTGTAACAGCAGCCTCAGCAGCAGTAGGTCTCAATATAAACAAAGGGAAAAGCAAGACTCTCCGACACAATACAATATGCACCAATCAAATTACACTTGACGGAGAAGCTTTGGAGGATGTGGAAACCTTTACATATCTGGGTAGCATCATTGATGAACACGGTGGATCAGATGCAGATGTGAGGGCGTGGATCAGCAAAGCAAGAGCAACATACTTACAACTGAAAAACATCTGGAACTCAAAACAATTGTCAACCAACACCAAGGTTAAAATTTTCAAAGCACATGTGAAGACAGTTCTACTGTATGGGGCGGAAACTTGGAGAACTACGAAAGCCATCATCCAGAAGATACAAGTGTTTATTAACAACTGTCTACGCAAGATACTTCGGATCCGTTGGCCAGACACTATCAGCAACAAGTTACTGTGGGAGACAACAAACCAGATTCCAGCGGAGGAAGAAATCAGTAGGAAGCGCTGGAAGTGGATTGAGCACACTTTGAGGAAATCACCCAATTGTGTCACAAGACAAGCCCTCACATGGAATCCTGAAGGTCAAAGGAGAAGAGGAAGACCAAAGAACACATTACGCCGAGAAATAGAGACAGACATGATAACAATGAACAAGAACTGGGTAGAACTAGAAAAGAAGGCCCAGGACAGAGTTGGTTGGAGAAAGCTGGTCGGCGACCTATGCTCCATTGAGAGTAACAGGCGTAAAATAATATAAATAAATAATAAAGCAGCGTCGAGCCACCTAGACTGGTGACCACATTGCAACTCGATCGACAGCATTCGAACAACACTAAGAAAGACTTGACACGCATGACATTGATCACCAGCCAGTGATCAATCAATTGTGAGTAAGCAACCTTCCCTGACACCTGTCTTTACCTCGAATGAGTCGGTGAGTTGTCCTCCGTGAACGATCTTGCAGTTTAATCTATCATAGAAATTCCGTATGATATTGACTATCTTCTCAGGTACGCCGTACTGTTGTCCCGATCTGATGTTATATGAGCTTCTCTCCTGGTTCTCACATCCTCCATCGTCCTCCTGAACCTTTTGTTAATGCATATATGGTCTACTTGGTTTTATGTAGTGTGATCCGGTGAAGTCTATGTGGTTTTGTGAACGCGTTCATCTGGTCGCCCATCAACGTTTTGCAATACTTTTGACAACATACTAAGCAGTGACAAGCCTTAGTTTTTTCTGTTCCTCCTCTTGAAAGTTGGTAAGATGACTACACTCTTCCAACGCTTATGGTTACTACTTGAGGTGAAACAAATGTTGAAATGGATCGCTTAGTTGACGATAAAGGATTTGTGAAACCGTTCATTATCATAAGGCATGTATCGTCATGCCCTTTGAATTGCTTGATTTCAGTCTAAATAACTTTCGTAACATTAGCTGAGTGATTATCATAATTGTTCACAAACATCTTATGGTTTCATAAGTGATGTCAAGAAACCATTTCGGACTTCTTCAAAAATGCAATAATACACAAGTTTCAATAATGTTAAGGTTATATTTTCCATATTTGAAAAAGAGAAAAAAATAAAATAAAAATATGAATATAATATAACGATAGCAAATCAGGTTCTGAGTAATTACCTTGTTAACACTCCAATTATTGTCAACTCTAGAGCTTCGGTTAAAAACTGCTAGTTCGAAACCTGATTCCTCTGTTTGTCAAAGTGCGCTATTGAAAGTTAGGAAGCTGAAAGGATGGACAGAGCTACTCAGTGTTTGTCACGAAATACTGTATCAATGAAAGAGTGTAACCCACAACCCTGTGCACATAATGGTTGGGTTACTTCTGAGTGACCACTCTTGGCTTAAAGATTACTTGATGTTTCGTATATTTCCACCACTGCTATCGTGCGGAAATAAGCAACGAGTGACCTAGACCATTCAGTAGGTTGCAAATCATGATTAGATCACCTTGCACTGTTTAGTCTTCACCATGCCGAAATAATGAATAAGGTCATCTCCGACAACTATGAATATGAATTACATGTAGGTACAGGCCCATTTATTCTTCGCACGGAGACTTAAATGAACAACAGTTGTGTGGGATAATAGCACTATTATTATTTAAATTTCAAACAATTCTAGGCTTTTGTAGGGAGCACGACACATAACATACTTTGAATATAAGCTTCACCTCTAAAAGAGTTGTAGTAAATATGATTTCCTAAAATATTCAGCTATGTTAGCGCTGATACTTGGTTTTCTTCGCTGAGATGGAAGTTTGATGCCTTACATCAATCCCCTGGATCTTATTTTCACACTTTCCATATTGCAGATTATTAGTCACCTAATCAGTAATGTGATGGCTTCCGGTTTCAACGACCCTACCTTCCCGAGACTAAATCATTCTCTTAGGTCCAAGATTTTTCAAATCCCAAATAACTGTCGAATTCCCTATGACTAGTGAAGTTGAGTGGCTAGATACATTAACCGCTACAAATACGAATCGATCACATGTCTGAGAATGTTCTAGGATTAAATCCCTCGATGAGATGCGTAAGTTCAGTGGTTTGCATCCAGCTTGATTATTGTGTGTTTGGTGGCAGACTGAAGAAGTCGAGAAGAGTTAATAATAAGCAAAAACTCATCTGAAAAATCAGTCAATGAATGTAATGAGCTTACAATTGGTAGCGGGATCAGTTGAAAACAATTAGTAATAAAACTACTGTAAGATCAAGACATTATGAAAACCGGAATGAATAACTTTTAGAGTAAATTTTCGAGTCGGGTGAAATATTGAAGCTTGAATTGTTGGTGTTTATTGGTTTGCCGCTGTGGCCAGTACTCGACATTTGGGCGGATTATCATCCAACTTTCTTTCGTTGGCTTGTATCAGTTAAGTGGAGTTCCGTGTTTTCATTATTATGATAAAATCGTAATAAAGTGACGTTTTTATGGTTTGAATGTGTTTCGATGAACAGAATTCTCTGAGTTTGTACAGTTGTTTTCTTGAATTTGCCTTGCTAAGTATGCTAATTTGACTGCGACCTTGTTCAAAATAACATTCACCCTTTAGAGTTTTTGCAACAACCTGAATAGAAAGATATTATTTGTTGTACTCTTGTCCAAGCTTTGTTGACCGTAATGTTCTCCGGTTTTTGTTGTGGAGCCACTTGGGGTTACCAAGTATCATCTTTGCCGGTGGTTAAATTTCTTCTCATAAATATAGTTACTTCATGCTATTTGTGTGGCGTTGAGACGTCGTTGCAAAACGTTGGTGTTATCTTAACACCAATTCTCAGTTTATGTAGTAAATAGAATGTACTGATAGAATAGTAACTGATTCCCGATTTACTCGTAGTTTCGGTCTTGTGTATCTCCGTGTTTCTCCATCCTGATATCGTTTACAAGATCTGGTTATGCCTCTCACTAGACAGAACTTATCCACTAGGTAACCTGAGTTATGTGGCTTTCGCACATTTTTGGAATAAATTGAGAGTTAAAGGGATATCACGAACCTAACACTGACGAGTATACAGTAACAAAGGTAGTAGGTATCGGTAGATTTATACCATCTAAAACCTTGAAGTGATTACCTATCTTTTGAGACGGTTATTTAGGAAATCCTGATTATGTTCTCTACGTTCAAAGATCGACAAGGGTTCTAAGGTCAGTGAGTGACATAAAAATCCGGTCTTTTTGTAAAACTTTATCTACAAAAATCAGAGAGAAACCTTCACTCGACTTTACTTACGTTCTGAGTGTCCTCGGTGCGTGACCAATAACCTTAGGACCATCCAGAGAACTATGTGGAATGACTTTTTCAGCACCGCAATTGGATACTTTAGCAATCGCGAAAGTATTTAGTCGTGTAACGACTGAACAACTGACACAGGTTGACCCCCAAGCTGCTGATTAATACCAAATTTCACACTTGAAAAGTAGATTGGAGCTTAAAACTTAATATTTTACGTTTTATGGTGTCGAAACGGAAGGGAACAAAAAGCCCATAAGTCAGCAAACGTTGCGTCAGAGTTAGGAGTTTGGAGATGTTTCAATCTAATTTGGGATATTTTTGTGTCAAACAAATCATGTCTTTGATTTCTTGTACGGGGTCTTATTTGATTTATATGGCTTACCAACTAAAAAAAAAACTAAGTTTTAGCTGGTACAGAAAAGACTCGATAACGCAATTGGCATTTAGTAGCTGTATCAGTGTAATTTACGTTTCTTTATTTACCAATAACATCTTATTGCGGCTGTTTGAAACTTATTTTAAATCAAATCCCTTCGAAGACCACATGTTTCTCTCTAATCACACAAACGTTTCAATGATAGTAGTACGCGATAATCTTATCCCAATGTATATAATCCCTTTCTTATTTTGTGGGTGCGTGATTATTAAAAGAAGGAATATAGAACCCTTGAGTAAATTGTGTGTACTTGAATAGTTTTGAAATATGCACTAGTTATGAACTCAGTCCGTTGTTTCCCAGTGGAACTAAACTTTAGAGTTTACACCATAAGCAGAATATCATTACTCACTGGCTTGTTTGGTCTAACAAATGCCATTTAAAAATAAGAAGTAATAACATTAAGCATAGAATAATGCAGTTCGTTATTAAACTCTATATTTTAACTCACATATCACTCCAACTGTATGTTTTATATGGTCTAGTTCCAAGTTAGTTAAAAATAAAAGCCAAAACCGAAGTACATGGAGTAGGGTTAGAACCCGAATCATATTTGCTTTAAGTCGGACTCCTTAATTTGTAAACCGCCGTCCCGTATAGATCATATAATTAATGCTTTTTAAAGGGGCGTTTGATAACAGATATAAAGCGTAAGGGTGGTTTTCTTATTTTGTTTCTCAGTGTTGTTTTTGTTGTTTACTCTTCTGTATTCAGTTATCATTTTTATGGGGAATAAAACCTTATCGCTTCACTTTTACCTTAATTTATTTTCTACTCAGATGAGTGTAGTTGTAGAAACGGTTGGAATAAATGACATTTCATGTCACTGACACATGCATGTACTATTTCATATTTCGAGATTACTGTACAGTCCTCGTTCATTTACTAGTTTAAGTCGATAAATATTTACTGATCCCACATTGTAAGTACATTGTGATTAACTTCTAAATGCTATACGCTTTTTACCGCGTTTCTTAACTATTTTTGTTACTTATTATAACAAGACTTGTTTACCCTCTTGGTATTACTGTAAAGTCAAGTAACATGAATAGTTGCTTTATTGCACTAGCTCTTTCGTTTTACTATTTAGAGTAACGTTGACTCAACGTTTTTTGCACCAGTGGTCTACAGTTGGTCACGTAACTTTTTTTATTCCAGATGCCTGCTCCAAAGCGGTTGCGGGAGTTGGTAAGAGACATTAGATCTGCACGAACTGCTGCAGAAGAACGGGCGATTGTAAACCGGGAGTGTGCTTTAATTAGAGATAGTTTTCGGGAAGAAAATAACACTTACAGATGTCGTAATGTGGCCAAATTGTTATACATTCACATGCTGGGTTACCCAGCACATTTCGGTCAGGTAAATTTCTCAACCAATTCATTTGGTGCTTTTCTGGTTATCTCCTGAAATTTGCATTTAATATTTCAGTAACTTTATTTTATCAGCTACATGTGACGAGTTTTATTCACCTACATTTAAGCAATAAGTCTGCGAGCACTATCCGTTTATCACTCAACTAGTAATAGCTTACTAAATATCTAGCTTATTTTATAAAGAATCTATGAGCGGATGGAGTAACTAAAAATTTAAACGTCATATCGTGAACGTGGACTAGTTTTTTCACTGGCTAGAGAATAAATTACGACATAGTTATCCTATCTGCGACTGAGGGTTAGCTACAATCACAATTACTGCTGTTAAGAAAAACGTTACCAATCTATACCCCAAACTTATACTTGCTCACACTATCTTGGGTGTCACTCAACTCGCAAACTTTGTATTCGTAATTATCACTTTTCAAGCAGTACTACTTTGCTGACTAGTGCTTATGCTTTAAAATCAGGAAAATAGAGATGTAAAGTCAAATGTTTAATAGAGAATAGGAGATATATACCATGTAGTGTTAGTGTAATGTCATTCGTCTTTTAGCAGGTAGATTGTATGTTCAGTTTAGGCAGCTAACTACTATCATCGGTCCCCACGCAAAGTTTATTCAATCAAGTACATAAATCTGTATATGGATATTGAGTTATATTAAATGATTTTTACAAACCATATTTTGTGTTTTGTCATTCATCACTTACACTTAATGATTGATTTCGCTTATATATATTTATTTTATTTGTTTAAACACATACATATTGGTACAAAGGGGTACCGAATACATATGCGCCACACATTTTCTGTGAGGTCTGTGATACTGCCCGGGTGCCGAAACCGAAGCAGGTGGTTTTCTTAGGGGGCCACACCCCGAGCCTTTGACCTAAAGGTCTAACCCACAAGGCAGTGGAGCATCATAAGGAGATGTAGTCCCGTGGTAGCCGGTGACCAACAATTGATTCATACGCCATTTGTTCCCTCAGGATACTGGAGCCCATGTGCACCATTGGTTTGGAATCAGGGTTTTCCAACTCCCCTAGGTGGACTTTCCGTGTCTACCAACTCGGTTAAAGCGCCTGACATCCGCTCTTCGTCCTCTCGATCTCGTAAACAACACTCCCGCCACGAAAAGGCAGTTAGTAGGACTTCCCTGGTATAGGCTATATACGCGTGGCCATATGAACATTTCGAGATGGAGAGCTAACTCTCCCCACTCTCGACCGTACCAGGGCATTTGGGGGCATATATATATATATATATATATATATATATATATATATATATATGTGTGTTTGGAATAAAGACAGGATACCGTTTCCTTTTTATTAATACTTAAAACTTTCCGCGACTAGGACTACTAATTAAACTTGGAACTTTTTATTTTCCTTTTTTTGTTCCCATTAACTTGGTCAGTACATGCTTCTTATGGATTTATGTTGACAATTCTCCTCGTCCAGTCATCATTGGTTCTGGTCTGGTTGATTTTTGCCAACATCCATCTTATGTAACAGTCTAAATTGTTTATCTATCAACCAAAGGACGAGTATACTGTGCAACAATTCGATCTGTTGTGCTTTATGAATGTGAAACATACAGCTTCCTTTCATACCACGATACCGTGTCGTGCACTGACTACATAACTGGTCTCAGCGTCGGCAAATAATGCATGACGTAGACGTCACTGAGACTACGTTCGTAGAACACGTCCAAGCCCTCAAGGTCGGTGTCTCAAGATGGTGTTACCTACTGAGTTATCGTCGCTATGCCTGAACACACGTAGCCGAACCTACGCACTACTAACATAGTGTTGCCACTGGATGTCAGCTATTCTTCGTGGACAACAATGATCAAGTACCGAGGGTCATCTAACATCCTCAACTCGGAGAGGCCAGGTTTCACAACCACAATAGAGATAGTCATCGACCCAGATCCGACCTTTTACAGCTAGACTGACATCATGAAGGCTCCAAACATGACCCGGGTAGGCATAAACCACTCTGGCTCTTACTGTACGTAAATTGACTTCATCATTTACGCCATCACCAGCACTTAAGTAGTTACTCTGATACACGAACTTCTCGACTACTATCTGCTCACTACTAGAAGTGAATGCAGGTTCACAGTCCTGTCATTCTTGTAAAAGTACTTGGTACCTGGGAAATGCGAAGCGCATGCCGTACCTACGGGTGCTAATTGATGAGATAGTGAGTATTCATCGTCTGGGGTGGTTTAGAAATGCATTACAATACCAAACCGTCTCCCACCTCAACGCTCAGTAATAATTAGTGAAGGAGTAGGTTGGACGAAAGCTAGAGTCAGCCGTAAATGACCCAGGATCAGTCCACGAAGCCACAGACTGCTGGATTGACTCATATAGGTAGGTACAGGTTTTCTGTTTAGGGTCCACGTGATTATCCTAACCACTAGTTAGATATTTTGGATGACTTGGTTCAGGATCGTTTGCAGTGGCACCGTGTTATAACTTGTGAACGCCAATCAGAATACAGTGATTTATCGATCGGAACAGTCCCGACCGTTGCTGCTACCTTGACGTGGTGGTCGGGCTTGCCTATCGTGATGAACCAACCGAGCTATGCTGGTTGGAACAATCGTTTCTCGAGGTCCTACCATGCCAGACAGGTCGGTTGAAGAGCGGTAAGACTAAAAGCAGCAATCCCAAGGTCCGAAGGCGAAGTCGTACTGCTGACTGTACAGAGGTGTGACGGCAGTAAGGTGTTTCCTTCAGACAACCAGCATGACAGCGATGCTGCCTTCCCACAAGGAGGGGTGGGGTTAGAAAAGGTCGACCCTAAAAATGCACACTTCGCCTTATCCCACGGATTTCCGTCTCCGGCGGTAAGGTCCTTTAAAGAACGGAGCTAACACTTCAAAAATCCCCCATAAAAAGGCCGTGCGTGACCGGCCTCAAGCAGTTGTCCCTTGGGCACTGCGGTCACGCTCCCAGGTCGTTAAGACCAACACTAATCCAACTTCTTTTTCAGGTCCCTCAAGAAATACCCTTCCACGGTGTGGGCAGCCGGGAAGTGATATTAGCCCTCATACCCGTAACAGCACACGAGACCAAGTTGGTAACTTTCAAATCCTTCCTACTCCTAATAACTCTCTTATCTCCACGACTGGCCCTCCCCACGTCCCTTTATCACCTCGCACCGCTAGGGCAAACGATTCAAGTACACGGAACGTTATTCCTGGTCTCCTGGAACCACGCTCTAAACTACACGTAGGAACTTTTAATGTCCGAACATTGTGCCAAATAGGAAAACAGGCTTCCTTAGCTAGGACTTTAGAATCTTACACCATTGATGTGTGTTGCGTCTCCGAAACGCGCATACAAGATCCGAGTGGTGTCATTCATTTAACCGCACCTAATCAAAATAAAGAACCATCTCGATACACGCTTCGCGTATCTGGAAGCCCTGATGCTGCTTCCCGTGGCCTCGCTGGAGTAGGTATAGCATTAAGTCCTAGGGCAGAACTAGCTCTTTTAGACTAGATCCCAGTAGACAGTCGTCTATGCGCTGTCCAACTAAACGGATCAGTAAGGACTCGGAAAGATAAGGAAACTCGTCGTCTTTGCCTACTCTCCCACTGACTGCAGCTCAGACGATATAAAAGATGAGTTCTACAGGAAACTTTCTGACCTTCTCCGAAAAGCTAGGCGTTCTGATGTAGTAATAGTGGCTGGTGACTTTAATGCTCAAGTAGGTAAACTAAGTGAAAGGGAAAGGCACCTGGGTGGATCTTATGGTGTCATGGCGAAAAGAACAGATATTGGCGACCGTCTGTTTCAGCTGTGCTCAGATAACCGCCTATTTCTTGCAAATACTAACTTTAAGCATAAGGAAAAACATCTTTTGACATGGCAACCCCCGAATTCGTCCCAACGTTGGACCCAATTAAATCACATCGCTATCAGCCACCGATGGAGGGTCTCGATAGAAGACTGTCGCTCATTCTGGAGCACATGTTTAGATTCAGATCATGCTCTAGTGCGAGCACGCATCTGTCTGCGTCTTACTGGACGTAGGAAAGACACGGCAGGGAAACCTCTAAGGGTTCTCCTTAATGATAGGCCAGCTAAGAATATATTTCAGGAACAACTGGAAAAACAGTTAGACAGACATGTAAGTTGTGCCCACCCCGAGGCAGCGTGGAATGACATCCGAAAAGCTGTGGAAACAGCAGTGATATCCGCTAGTAAGGTAAGCCATAAGGTCAGGAAGAAACAATGGATCTCGGCAGCATCTACCGCACTGATAGATGCTCGAAAACTCGTCCCACCTGGCTCTGAACATAACGAAGAGCGGAGTCAGCTTAAGCGAAGGCTAATAAGAAGCCTACGCAATGATCGTGAACAGTGGTGGGTAGCGAAAGCAAGAGAGATGGAAAAGGCAGCGGCAATAGGTAACAGCAGACAGCTATTCAGACTTATTAAAGAAACCGGCATTAGGAACCCAACTATTAGCGAAACTATCTCAGACAAAGATGGGCATATCATTCATTCTCAATCCAGGAGATTGGATCGATGGGCAGAACACTTAAGGGATCAGTTTAACTGGCCTTCAGCCACACTTCAATTACCCACGATCCCCAGTCGTCCTGAATGGCAAATTGATGTAAGCCCTCAAACCCTCTGTGAGGTTGAAAAAGCTATAGGAAATCTGAAGCGAGGGAGAGCCGCAGGCCCTGACAGGTTTACCCCTGAGATTTTTAAGGATGGTGGTCCAGTACTAGCAACGAGACTGACTCAGGTCTTAGGTAGAATCTGGGAACTGGACGTAATTCCATCTGACTGGTCCCAATCACTGATTGTGCCAGTCTATAAGAAAGGACAAAAGTCCTCCTGTGACAATCACAGAGGGATCAGTTTGACTAATATAGTGTCTAAAATATTAGTTTCAATAATACTTGGACGCCTAACCAAAGCTCGTGACGAGCAGACTAGAGAAAACCAGTCTGGTTTTCGACCTGGACGTGGTTGCATAGACCAGATATTCACTCTACGTCAGGTCCTAGAACATAGACATACATTCAGACGTCCCACAATCGTAGTATTTCTTGACCTTAAGACGACATTTGACTACGTTAATCGTGAGTTTCTATGGCAGTGTTTGTCTGTGAAAGGAGTACCAAAGAAGTACATTAACCTCATAAAGGCTCTCTACTCGAACACAAGTGGTCGAGTTAGAGCCTATGGCGAACTGTCATCAGAATTGGTTACCTCAAGTGGTGTTCGTCAGGGCTGTCCACTCTCCCCATTCTTGTTTAACTTTGTCGTTGACATGCTTTTAGAGATATCACTTTCACCATCTCAATCTCCTGGAGTTGAACTTTTACCGGGAGGCTCACTTATTGACTTAGAATACGCCGACGACATAGTTTTATTTGGTGAAGACGCTGGCAAAATGCAGAGTCTTCTGACCACTATAAGCAACAATGCAGGCATGTTCGGGATGCGATTCTCTCCCTCGAAGTGCAAAATGTTACTTCAGGATTGGGTTTCATCGACACCTGAACTAATGATTGGGAGTGAAGTAGTTGAGCATGTAGACCACTTCACTTATCTTGGTAGTCTCATCAGCCCTTGTGGTCTGGTGTGTGATGAAATCTCAGCACGGATACAGAAGGGTCGTCTAGCTTTCGCCAACTTGCTCCATTTATGACGTAGGTGAGATATCCGTCTAGCAACGAAAGGACGGGTTTACTGTGCAGCAGTCCGTTTCGTCCTACTTTATGGCAGTGAAACATGGTCGATAAGAGCAGAGGATATTCGTAGGCTGCTAGTGTTCGATCATAGGTGTCTTCAAAGCATTGCTCGTATATCCTGGGACCACCGGGTAAGTAATGCAGTTTTTATGAAACGGGTACTAGGTAAGGATGGCAAATCGATTGAAGTAGTGAAACTTCATCAGTTGAGATGGCTGGGACATGTGTTACGTATGCCCAACCACCGACTGCCCCGACGTGCAATGGTTTATGGGGTAGGAGTAGGTTGGAAGAAAGCTAGGGGCGGCCAGACCAAAACATGGCATAAATCCATTAAGTCTCTGACAAGTGGACTGAGCCATGTTGGTAGGTGTAGACTACCTGGTTGGGATTCGCGAGATGATAGCAACCGATGGTTAGAGACCTTGAATGACATGGCTGAAAATCGTTTGCGATGGCGAAGGTGCATCCATTCTTTGTGTTCTGCTAAATTCTAAACTTCTGAATTCTTAATGTCTCTATCTTTTTCTCTTTCCAAATTCATCTCACTGTATTATACTCCTTGAATAACATCTTCAAACCCTTATCTTTCACATAGTACTTATACTTTTACTACTTCTACCAATATGGGATTTGAATCGACAACTGCATCTCTGTGCTAATGTGGTATGGCAACTCGAAGTGATGTACGTACGTACGTACGTACGTTGTAACTGACTGACTGACGATCGGACCAGTGACACGAAACCCGTACGAGCAGTCTAGAGTACTTGTCGGTCCTGCTTTCCACCTAGCCCAGCCAGTTAAGTCCAAAAGACCAATCTCAGCCTCTGCAGTATAAGTCATTATGTTTCGAAAATACTGAGTTTATATACCAATCAAACAGACCACATCGTACCATAATATAAAGACTAACATTTGTACAAGATTCAGCTAAATGTGGCTGTGAATAGGGGGAACAGTAATTAATAGACTGGATGTAACTCAGGAATGGTAAATCGTATAATAATAGCTTATGGGTCAAAATAAAGCTTATAATAAGAGGGACGCAAATATGAATAGTTTAGTTAGTTAACAATTATACGATAGAAAATATATGCATAGTATTGGTTCATAAATGGATCCCATAGTTACCATTCACCATTGTTATCGGGACATAACACACCGGTGCATTCACTCTTCATAATTCGTAAACCCCGAGCTTCTTAATTATCTTGAAAATGTTTTTATTTCACAAATCTATATTTTCTCCCCGAATCGTATCTTCTGGAGCTCAGTGTTTTCTACTATCACTGTTACTACCTAAATTAAATTGGCATCTCACTGTTCTCATGAGATCTAGCAACTTACACCGATGTACATATGTGCCAGGTTCTATGTTGCTTATGATTCTGACGAAGTCAAAAACAAATGGAATGTTTTTCAAATAGAGGTTAAACTTTCTGTCTTTATGTGCTGTCGGTCGTTTATATATTCCTCCGCGGTCCCTGTGAAAATTCTCATCAATCATCTGTCATTCAGGTCTAAAATTCTTGAAGTGTCGACTACTTGATTTGGAGGTATATGGTGTGCTTGATAGTTTATGTATGCTTTAAATGTGTAGACAAATTGTGTGCTTTGGCTGTACAAATCAGCCTGAATTCTCACCAGTCTTATTTTACAAGTATTTCTTACTCAGTACCCTATATTGTAGACATTTATTGTGAGTAACAAACATGGTTTCTTATGTAACTTCTTCTGTTCAAATCCGCTATCTGTTTTTTTTTTGTCAATTGATTGGTATTGTAGCTTTGATGCATTAATGTAGTTTAGATCAGTGCATGAATGCAAGCATAGTTATCGAATGGCTTATCTTAACCCTCTTGCTATTGCCTAGAGATTTAAAAATTACTGATCTGCATTTTTTTACCACTTTGTTTATAGCTTGAATGTTTAAAATTAGTTGCTTCTCCACGTTTCACCGATAAAAGAGTTGGTTATCTGGGCGCAATGCTTCTACTTGACGAACGAACTGATGTACATCTTCTAGTTACAAATTCTTTAAAAAAGTGAGTTTTTCTGGTACTTTTCTATAATAATTAAGCCAAAATTCGGTTTTAAAAGTGAGTAGTAGTATGTCAAACCTTATCCTGTAATGAATAAATTCCCAATTTCATCATAAAGCAATTTCTTTACCTAGATTGTCATTATCGTTAAAGCCAACGAGCCATAATCCAACAAGTACTTTAAATGTCTTATATTTGAACTAAGTACCTCTAAAGGAGTTAATTACAAATTGTTAGAATTTAACTTGTTTTCTAAACCAGCCATACGCTGTTTTAATATTTATTGTATTGTTGAATTCTACATCAACTCACTGTCCCTGTAAAGTGTATCGTAGTTTTTCACAGTATTCTTAGTTAGAAAACCGTCAGATTTCCCACAACATTCCGTTGTGTCAATGTTTAGAGTTCAGGAAAAGTTCAAAAAAGTAATCAAGAAATGCAATACGATGTGAAAATATGATATTTAAAATTTGGATACTTTTAGAGATCGACAATACTAAATCAACTTTTATTGTGAATGGTTTCATTGTGATGAGATATATAACTAAAAATCCATAGGGTCTTAATTACGGTCATCAACTTCTGGACCAAATGGAGAGTAGAATTATTATTTGGGGTCAAAATTACCAACATCGGTTGCCAGCTAGCCCCACGATATCTATCATGTATTGGACTTTTACCTTTTTATACGAATCTAACTTGCTGCTTCTCGCTCATTAATTTTCTTTCCAGAATATTCTTTCTTTATTGGGTTATTGGGAACTAATAAAAATAGAGCAGTGTACTGTATTCTTTTACTACTACTTCAGTATATTGTTAGTGCCCATTATTTTGTCTGGGTCAATTGGGACAGTTTAGCAGAGTTGAGTTTCATCCATTTAGCTTCATCGGTGAATTTGAACAAAACAGGAGCAATAAATTTATCTGAAATTATTCTAAAACTATTGTTTTCTAATGAATTTTTTTTTTCACTATTTTGACTCACATAGAGCAGTCTGGCTTTCGTTCTGGTTGTAGATGTTATTCATCATATCTTCAGACCAACAAATTTTAGGTCGTCGCCACGTTTACTACAAGTTAGCAATCCTTGCTTTTCTCGACATCAGCGTCGGCTACGATTCGTTGGACAGGACTGTTCTCTGTGATTTTCTGTTGAGGAAAGGTGTATCTGAGACATTTATTAACATCCTGAAAGCTCTGTATGCAAACAGCTCAGCAGAGTGAGAACATATCACCTCTATCCACTGTCCCTTTCCAGTGATGGGATTATATAAGATGGCCCATTGTAGTAAATCTTCAACTCTGTCGACGATGACATTCTGGAAACAGCTCTAAACGAAGTACTTGGTGATAGTGATGATGTCGGTGCAAATGTGCCACTTAGAGGTGGATTTTTCGATCTCCAGTGTGCAGACGACATCATCTTATCGTGGGATGATATAAAAGCTGTCTAAGTCCTCCCTCGACTGGTAATCCGTGTCCGTAAGTACGGGAACTTCTTTACACCTAAATGCTGAGTACTTTTACAAGACTGTCAGGAATCTGTGCTGTCACTCGCATTTAGTTGTAAACCGTTAGAAATAGTCTAAATGTTTGGGCGCCCGGGCAGTATCACAGCCCTCACACAAATAAATGAAATGATGACTTGTACTGACAATCCTATTTACGCGCTTACTATATGCCAGACAATTTGCATTATTATTATTTGCCATATCGCTTATTCACTCCCTTTTATTCCCAATTTGTGTACCCTTACTTTTCAACTTATGCAGCAGCTCGCCCATGGTGGCAACTCTGTTCTATCTAAACGATCTCTAGTCGCTATCTGGTCGAAAGTGAATACTTCCATCGATTACGAATACTGAACCAGTCTTTCTGAAACCACGCACGCCGTTCAAGCTGGCTTCCTTCAACGTTCGCACACTAATGTAGATCGGACAACAGATAGGGCTGGCTATGTCTTTAGAAAGTCTCAATATCGACGTTTGTTGTCTATCCGAGACCCGCATTCAAGACTCTAATGAAGTACTACAAATTCGCTCTCCGTATGTCACTTCAAAAGGCTTGTTTCACATGCGTTTATCCGGAGACCCTGTGGCATCCTCGTCTGGTCTTGCTGGCGTTGATTTCGCACTAAGCACTAGAGCTGGGGCAGCACTAATCTACTGGATCCCCATTAACAATCGGTTATGTGCTGTTAGATTAGAAAGTTCCATCAAAGTGATAAGAAATCGGCGTCTTTTCGTCATCTCCGCCTTTGCCTCGACAGATTGCAGCCCGGATGCAATCAAGGATGAGTTCTACCACCACTGTTCTTCTGCAGAAAGCGCGTTTGACAGATATTGTAGTACTAGCCGGAGACTTGAATGCACAGGTCGGGCGTCTGAGCATAGAAGAGTCATTTAGGTGGCAGATGGGGATTTGTTGGTTGCAGGACCGATAACGGGGACCGTTTACTGCAACTGTGCACAGACTACAACTTGTTTCTGGCTTGCACTAACTTCCGACACAGTCATCGCCAGTGTGCCACCTGGCGTCCTCTCTGCATCCCAAGCCTGGACTCAGATTGATCACATCGCTATCGGCTGTATCTAGCGTGGTTGTGTACAAGACTGCCGCTCCTCTTGGAATACTTATTTGGACTCTGATCATTCCCTGGTCTGCGCCAACCTTACCTTACTTTTCAGTGGTCGAAGAATTGACCGCCATCAACGGATTGATGTTAGTAAACTGGCTGCAACTTCTGTTGCAAGTAAGTATCGAGCGGAGCTAGCTTCTAGGCTAGCTACCATCCCACCGAAAAGTATAGATGAGCATTGGTTGCATCTTCACGACGCCATGAAAATGGCGAGTAAAGTCGCTTTCGGCTTCGCGAAATGTCCCGCTTATAAGCACTGGGTTTCTTCTGGCTCCTTACAACTGATCGAAGCTCGTCGGCCTACTCCGAGTGACCGTGAATATGACCACAAACGAAGGCTGTGATGTAATGAAATTGGGCAAAGCTTGCGTAAGGACCGAGAAGCCTGGTGGTCGGAGCGTGCTAATGAGATGGAAGTAGCAGTTGCATCTGGTAACTGCCGGAAGCTCTTCCAACTCATCCGAGCCACTCGCAGCAAGAAGTCTGATGTGAGTGAAACAATCTACGAGGATGATGGGATGCCAATCACTAACATCTCTCGACGTCTTGGACGATGGGCGGAATTTTTCGAAGAGCAGTTCAACTGGCCTGCGTCTCCGGCAACATCAACCAGTTTGTCCTGCCCCCCATGGCCGGTGACGACTGATCCACCAAACGAGGCGGAAGTCCACAAGGAACTCCAACTCTTGAAACGTTACAAACCACCGGACCCAGATGACTTACCTCCTACTTTTTTTAAGGATGGTGGTGACTTTCTAGCTAAGAAACCGACTGTGTTGTTTGCAAAGGTTTGGGAGCTAGAAAGTGTTCCAACGTCATGGAATGAGTCGATAGTCGCCCCTATCTTTAGAAAGGGTTCACGTTGTTCCTGTAACAACTATCGGGGATGTCTACTTCCAATTGCGTCCAAACTATTGACTTCTGTCATACTTTGTAGGTTGTTTAAAACCCGGGAAGGATTGACTCGTGAGGAGCAGGCTAGTTTTCGTTCTGGTCAAGGATGCATTGACCATATCTTCACCCTCCGCCAAATGTTAGAACAACATCATACTTATCACAGGCCAATAATCATAGTGTTTCTTGATATCAGGACTGCCTTCAATTGGTTGGACAGGACTGCTCTCTGGGATTGTCTATTGAAGAAGGGTGTGCCTGAGAAGTTTAGTAACTTCTTAAAGCCCTTGTATACAAACACCTCAGGCAGAGTGAGGGCATACAACCACCTTTCTCCCTTGTTCCATTCAAGCAGTGGGTTAGGCAGGGTTGACGAATCTTACCATTCCTCTTCAACTTTGCCATCGACGACATCCTGGAAACAGCTCTGATGGGTGTAAGTAATAGTGGTGGGGATATGCTGCCTGGAGAAAGACTTCTCGGCCTTGAGTCTGCGGATGATATTGTCTTACTGTGCGATAATGCCCAAGGCATGCAATCCGCACTTAATCAGTTGGCAATCAGTGTCCGCAGGTACGGCATGTGCTTTGCACCCTACAAGTGCAAAGTACTCCTACAAGACTGGCAGGATTCTCATCCTGCACTCACCCTAGATGGTGAGCAGATTGAAGTAGTTGAGAAGTTCGTGTATCTAGGTAGCTACATAAGTGCTGATAATGGCGTGAGTGATGAGATCGATGCACGTATAGTGAAAGTTAGAGCAGCTTATGCCAAACTGAGCCATCTTTGAGGCCGTCATGATGTTAGTCTGACTGAAATATCCTGTCTACAGTGCGTCAAGGAGAGCGGTCCTACTCCGTGACTGTAAAACCTCGCCTTTCCTAGATGAAGACGTTTGGTGACTCTCTGTGTTCAATTTTCTATGTCTTCGAATGAGTGGTGACATTCAGTGGCAACACTGTGTTAGTAACGCTGAGGTTCGACAGTGTTTATCCGGGATCAGTGATGACAATTTGGTTAGTGTCACCATGTTGAAACACTGGCTTTGGTGGTCTTGACATGTGTTGCGAAAATCATCTCAGTGACTTTCACGTTGTGCTTTATTTTCGGACTCTGTGGCAAGGTACAAAAGTGGGAGAAGTGGTTTTTTCATGATACGGTGTCATAGTATGAAAGAAAACTGTACGAGACTGGAACAATTCGGTCCCTCACTGCTCCCTGGTTGGGATCCTAGGGATTATACAACTTAGTAGCTTGAGACATTACCAAATGTGAGTGGAAACAGAAACCAATGGAGATCCTGCAGTAGCTTTCTTTTACATTTTACATTTCAAGAAATGAAAGGACGTGACTTGACTGAGAGATGTGTTGCTGGTTGTATTTAAAACTGAACTATATCTCCTATTATATACTATTCTCGGCCACTCATTATTATCCCTATTCATTTGTTTATTTTCGATTGTACTTCCTCTACCTCACCTACCTTATGACAATTTCATTTCCCTATTGTTTAGTGCACATTTATTTTGTTGCCCAGCTGTACCGATATTTGTGTTCTGCGCTCTAAAACTATCTTTTAGGAAAGCTTATTGTTTTCTGTCATTGTTTAATGGCTTTTCGTAATTTGTTTGATTCATATTCCTTATGATCTTTTTGCATTCTTAGTGATTTGAATCATCCTACTCCATATGTTGTTAGTTTGGCTCTGTGCACTTTGGGAAGTATATGCTCTGCTGAAATGAGCAGAGATCTAGCCGGTGAAGTTGAACGACTAATTAGATCATCAAATGCTTACATAAAAAAGAAGGCAAGTTGACATTTGTATTTGGGATTATAAGCGCTGATAGTATATTATTGTTGTCAACTTTTTATATTTCAGGAGTCATGAATTAAAGTTCGTGAAATCGTATTTTTAAGTATGGTATCACATTTATTACTTGTCGCTATTTGTATTTGGAGGTGAATGGTATTTATGGATGTTCCTTCAATATTCTGCTACTTGTGTTGGGAAAATATTACCATTTAAGTTTTCCCAAAGTTATTTCCGCAAGTATGATCATCCACTTAACTGCGTTGCGAACTCACTGAACATCAGCTAAGTCAAGCAGATGGCCAGGTATTAGCAATACTGTACTTGATAGAATTGTTTAACAATACAAGTTGCTAGACTTCACACACACGAGGAAAAGTAACAACCGGAAAACGATTATTCGACTGAATTATTTATGAGTCATAGGTTGCATGTGCCTAATCAAGAAAGTTTAAGGTTCTTAACTTGAATGACTACTAATAATCAAGAAGAATGAATGTAATTCATCAGTGAGTAACTTTTTTTTCCAGTTCCACCTTGAAAACAATGTGGTTCACTTAATACTTAGATATCCTGTCTTTGTGTGATTAAATGACGACCCGAATTGACCAGTGTCAAGTAGTTTCAACCATAAGTTTTTAATCAAAGCATTTTGTCCTCACCAAGGTCATGGTCAGAAAGACAATTACAAGTACACAAATTTGTTTCAAGTAATTATTCGATGTGACAACATGCATAAAGGTGACTAATAGCACCATAGGAACTAATTAATGTATGAATTCTTCAAAAAGAGGTCAATAAACTAGTAGGACATTTACTGTCTTATACTCTAGAAAATTGATTATTGGCTAAAGAAAATAAATTAATATTTTCTGAATATTTTAAATTCAAACAGAACTCGTGCACTTCTCAATACTTGTGCTTTAATCTGACTGTTAGACAGTTGTATGATCAACTGACTCATATTGGTCTTAAATCGATTGATCTTTTTTTAGTATATAAGTGATACTTTCAGCTGTTGCTAAGACCTACCGAAAGTTATGTGAGTGTTCAATATATTTACGGCAAAAGTATGTAGTTACCTTTTTTAATCTGATAACCATACTTTACTCTAAGTATTTTGATTTTTCCGAACTAGATTATGTATATTATTATTTATTGGGACATAAATATTGGTACAAAGGGGCACCGAATACATATGCGCCACACATTTTGTGTGAGGGCTGTGATACTGCCCGGGTGCCGAAACCGAAGCAGGTGGTTTTCTTAGGGGGCCACACCCCGAGCCTTTGACCTAAAGGTCTAACCCACAAGGCAGTGGAGCGTCATAAGGAGATGTAGTCCCGTGGTAGCCGGTGACCAACAATTGTTTCATACGCCATTTGTTCCCTCAGGATACTGGAGCCCATGTGCACCATTGGTTTGGAATCAGGGTTTTCCAACTCCCCTAGGTGGACTTTCCGTGTCTACCAACTCGGTTAAAGCGCCTGACATTCGCTCTTCGTCCTCTCGATCTCGTAAACAACACTCCCGCCACGAAAAGGCAGTTAGTAGGACTTCCCTGGTATAGGCTATATACGCGTGGCCATATGAACATTTCGAGATGGAGAGCTAACTCTCCCCACTCTCGACCGTACCACGGCATTTGGGGGCGTCGCTCATAACTTGTCCATAAATTATCTCTAACTAATCCATTTAGTGAATTTGATTGTAACTATGAGAAAATTCGAGGATCTTTAACCTCATTGAACTCAGATAATTTGAACATAGTTTTATCAAGCTGACATCAATAACCTAATTAATGGATCTGAACGCTAATTGATTTTTCTATCGAAGTCATTGTTTCGGGATCTAATGTTTCATATGATCGAGAGCATATCTATTAGCTTCGCACCTAGTTTAGTATCGATTACGTGTTTTATTTACAGCCTTCTAAATAGGCTGCATTATGCATAATTTAAAAACGTATTCCTAATACACAATATTTATACCATTTGTCTGTTAACTTGAAGATTCCAAGTAGTTGTTAGTGGAATTGAGGCGATTATGGTGGCATTTTTATAATTTACCTCTTTTTCATAAAATGCTTACAATTTTATTTCAACAGGCGGCATTATGTGCCTTTCAAATAATTCGAAAGGTACCTGATCTCATGGAAATGTTTATACCATGTACACGTTCTCTTCTTTCCGAGAAAAATCATGGAGTCTTATTGGCTACTATTTGTTTAATTCAAGAAATGTGTGAACGTAGTCCGGATACTTTGAATTATTTTCGCAAGGTGTGTTCATTTTAATCACCAGATATTTACTTTGGGTGCTTCTCATGAGTAATCAACCAATTACTTTTTTAATTGTATCAAGTAGTTGAATTTTATATCGATATTAAGTATGTTAGTCTCAGTATGAATGTATTTATTTACTTGGGTATTGCCAGATTCACCGTGATAACGTACCCATAAACTATTATTTTACATCTGTTATTTTATCCTCTTAAACATATATATATATATATATATATATATATATATATATATATATAGTATATTGACCCAACAGTGTTTGATTGTTCATTCATATTTGCTCTTTCCTATAAAATGATTCATCATTGCCTTAAACTCCGCCTTTAGCTCTTCTAGGGTTACTGCCGGTCACAAGCCCACACAAAGGAGGAGGATTAGGTGTGGGGTTAGCAACCCCATCCCATAGAAAACAATCTTGCTAAAAAAAACGCTGACTAGAATAAACAAATTAAACCGTTTAAATTCTGCCCTCCGAGTTGAAGGAAAAATTATAACGCCTCATGATGAAAACCGAGATTTCTCGGATGTCAGTAGGCCGATGCTCCTTCTAACAACCAGAACAACAATTTTTATAGGTATATGGAAAGTGCGGACAGGGTAGGAGACCGGGAGTACCAGTCAAATAACAACGAAAATGAGGAGATACAACCTGGTGGTTCATGGAATAAGTGAAGCCCATTGGACCCAAGCTGAACAGAAAAAGATAGATTCGGGACAGATAATGCTGCTTTACTCAGGTCACGAGGAAGAAAATGCTCCATATACTCGGAGTTGATCTGGTGCTGTCCAAAGAGGCACGTAAAGCACTTACAGGATGGGGATCTCATGGACTCAGAATCATCAAAGCACCATTCAAAACAAAGAAGAAGGCAATCACAATGAATGTTATCCAGTGTTATGCACCCACCAATGACAGCAACGACGATAAAGGTCTCAGGAAAAGATCTTGCCATTCTGATGGGAGACCTAAACTCCAAAGTCGGAATGGACAACGCCGAATATGAAGATATCATGGGACGACTGGGTGAGAGAAATGAAAATGGTGACAGATTTACAAACTTATATGCATTCAACGAAATTGTTATAGACGGCACAATATTTCCACACAAACGCATACACAAAGCTACATGGGTCTCACCAGATCACACCACGAGAACCAGACCAATCATATATGTATCACTGAAAAATTCACAAGGTCAGTGGAAGACGTGAGAACCAGGAGAGAAGCTAACATAGCTTCAGCCCATCACCAACTCAACGACTCTAAAATTTCTCCCAGCAACAGGTTCCAAGCCTTATAAGATACACCTAAAATGGTAAACTTCTATGTAGGACAATTGGTAAGGGATCAGAGAAGCACTAACTTCAACGTGTCAGGAGGTTCTGGGTCTCAAAAAATGGATCTCTATGAAAACCCTGGACAAGATTGAAGAAAAAAAATAAGAAAACGGCAATTAACAACAGCCAAGCAAGAAGAGTGAAATTCAAGGCACAAGCTTAACACACTAATGCGAAACAAACAGGTAATGGTTAGTATTATGGCTGACAAACAAAGCTAGCAACAGAGCTAGCAACAATAGTGGAAAAAGCTGACAGAGACTGAAATATGAGACAGCTGAAAGAGAAATATAGTAAACTGGAGGGAGTGATCAGTCAAGGACAAATAAGGTGAGCCAATCACTGAGATACAATAACAAAGGAATATATGTGTGTGGAACACTTATAAGAACTCTTGAATAGACCTGCCTTACTGAACCTACCGGACATCGAAGCTGCACATACACAGACCTTTCTATAGATGTCACTTCACCAATAATCGAAGAAATCTGCATGGCCATCAGACAAATCAAGAGTGGAAAAGCAACGGGACCTGACAATATACCATCTGTAGTACTAAACGCAAAGAAGTAACTACAAACATGCTCCACGTTCTATTCAGAAAGATTTGGGAGGAAGAACAAGTGCCACTGACAGTGGAAAGAAGAATATCTCATCAAGATACCAGAGAAAGAAAATCTGAGCAAGTGTGAAAACTGCAGGGGATCACACTACTGTCAGTACCAGAAAACGTTTTCGACAATGTTGATGCACCGCATTGAAGAATAAAGAGGATTCGATGCAGACGTATATGAGAGGATTGGCAAAGCAAGGACAGCATTCCTACACTTGAAGAACATGTAGAACTCAAAACAACTGTCATCCAACATCAAAGTGAGAATCTTCAATATGAACATCAAGACAGTTCTACTGTATTGAACTGAAACTTGGAGAACTACCACAACCATCACCAGAAAGGTACAAGTATTTATAAACAATTGTTTACGTAAAATACTCAATGTCCGTTGACCGGATACCATCAGCAATAGCCTACTGTGAGAGAGAACAAACCAGCTTCGATCTGAGGAGGAAATTAGGAAAAGATGTTGGCAGTATATAGGACATATATTGCGGAAATCATCAAATTGCATCACGAGACAAGCCCTAACATAGAATCCTGAAGGTAAACGGAAAAGAGGAAGGTCAAAGAACACACAGCGTCGACAATCGAAAACACACATAAACAAGATGAATAGCAACTGAGAATGATTTCCCATAACAGAGTTGGATGGAGAATGCTGGTGGTCGCCCAAGCTCCTTCATGACGGGTAACAATTATATATAAAAATATATACATATATATATATATATATATATATATATAATAAATGATGATTTAGTCAATGTAAAAGTCATTCAAGATGATGTGCTCAACAACAGTAATCATTACGCTGCTCTGAGAAGTCCAAAAGTAGCTGGTTCAATATTGGCGAACTAATAAATACTCTAACAAACGATAGAACAGTCTGATTTCGAATCAATGTAATACACGTTCACTACAAAATTATATAATCAAAAACTAATTACTTATGAGTAGTACAGTTTTAGCACATGAATTTCACAAATATCTTTTTAGATTTGTAGGCTCATTTCATAAAACATTGTTTCTAGAATGAGATTGTTCAACTTCTACGAGGTTTTAGAAATACTTGATTTAAGACTTTTTCTTCTTTTCAATTACAACTCGAGCGTCGAAACCCTTTATATATTTTTTACTCTTAGTAATTGTATCGAGTAAATTATGGTGTTATTTGGTGCATTCCCTGTTTTCCGTGAATTTTCAGTGGGTAGAAAACTAATCGTAGTATATTGAGTTATTGAAATAGAAGTAGGTAAGCCTCTATCTATAAATATAAAAAGTGATCAAGTCTAACTCTGTTATAATTTTAGTGTTATGGTCGCTCATAATAATTACAATGTTTCACTCGGATTCTAGTAATTTATTTAGAAATCTTTATTGCTTTTGTTTCATTAGTGTAATACATCTTCATTTAATTTTCTATATCCTCTAGCAATTAGTTCCAACACTAGTACGTACTTTAAAGAATCTCATTATGACTGGTTATTCTCCTGATCATGACGTTAATAAAATAAGTGACCCATTTCTGCAGGTTCGTTGTCATTGTAAAAAAATTTTTTTTGTCTATTATTCCTGTTATTTAATTATCATAATTTTTAAGTTCAAACTTTTTTTTAGGATAAAACCCTGTTAAGTCTACTTGTTTGATGCTGATTGCACTATATTCTTCAAGGGGATACAAATTTTTTTGAGCTCCACCGTTTTTTAAAGCCACTCAAATTTCTACCTAAATAAGTGTTATTGTGGCGATCGAGAATACAGGCGGGGATAACTATATGTATTTAGACACAAAATTACAGAATCTCTTAGCAAAATCTGATAAACATACAGTAAACACTTCCTTTGCAAAATGTCAACCAATTGTCTCAGACTTGATTATTCCTTCGTTTCCACACCAATCAATCTCTGTTCTCGTTCCCTTTTCTTCGATCCTCTAAACTTTCTACCATCAGGCATTTCACTTTCAACTGAACATAACTACTACTTATAGCTGTCGACGTCTGTAGCACACACCGCAGTATGAGTAAGCGGTTATTTGGATAATTATGATAAAAGCTTGTCTTCTGAAACACTCTTAAACTTTAAAAAAGCCGGGGTATTTCTTAGAAATACTAGAAATCTTTTGTCTTGTTGTGAGAATTGTAAGAATTCAACAGTCTCCACCAACATTTTAGAGATGTAATAGTTTTATATATTGCCTTTTCGTCATTCCTTCTCTAGTGCCGTCTATATATTTGTTTGAGAAACTCATTCACGTTACGTCTCATATTGTGAGGATTGAGACTGCTTCAAAACTTAAGTCAATTAAATTTAACAGTGACTTAGGCATAGGAAATACAGTTTCACGTTTGTCAGGTCTCGTTTCGTATGATTTCTGATATTGTTCGTGGAACATGCGGTACATTCAGGACTTCCTACATTTCACGTATTCAGCTTTCTTACTAATTATGTTGTAATACGTTCCCAACTTTTCACAAATTGGTACTGCTTCAATTATCTATGTGGCGTTTAATTGACTCAAAACTTCTCATGGATAAGATATCCGTATTTCTTTCAAGAGCTCTTTTATTTAAAAATATCGATGTCTTATCATGCTGTTCTATATTTCGCTTTGTACAGATGTATTTTTTAACCTAATCAACTACGGCTACTTTGAGATAAAATGAAATACTTCCAGATGATTCTTAGAATGGTTTCTGTAGTCATATTTCTATAACTTGGAGATTTTCCAAAATAGAAAAACCTCAATTTGCATAATTCATTGTGCGTAAGACTTTCATTTCAGTTATGCAAGGTTAAAATTCGTGTCTGTTAATTCGTATCCATATGGCTGTTTTTTCGTTGGATTAGCCGTCATTCACATCTAGCTATATATGCATAAGGACTGTTCTTTGCGTATCTTCGGATAGTTATTTATAGTTAAACTATTGGATATTTTTAAGTTTAATAAGAATCTAATATTCAGCTGCTCTGTAGTTGCTTAATGTAAATTGACTGGTAAGGAGGAGTGAAATAACACAATAGTTATGTTTTATGGGGTTATTCCGTTTCGTATTCTGTGTACCATTTGTCTGATTTTTAAGAAAAATGGTTGATATCCTGAAATGTTTTAAATAAAGTCTCATTATTTTAAAAAACTTTTATATCGTAATAATCTATTTTTTACTATACTGGTGAGCGATTGATCATCTTTTATTACTATGTGATGTCTTTATTTACTTTTTCCTTTGTAGGTGAAAATACTGAGGCTCATGCGTGTTCTAGGTCATGGTGACAAAGCCTCCAGTGAAGCAATGAACGATATTCTAGCTCAAGTAATTTTAGATTATAAATCTTTGCAGTACTCAACATTGTTGTTATCAGTACCAAAGAGGTCTTTATTTCCCCAAATGCCCTGGTACGGCCGAGGGTGGGGAGAGTCAGCTCTCCCTCTCAAAATGCTCTCATATGGCTACGCGTGTACTAGCCATTGATATGGATGTCCTACTCACCACCTTCTCGAGACGGAGGCGTTGTTTACAGAATTGAGAGGACGGAAAGCGACTGTCCGGCACTCCACTCGGGTTGGCGGATATGGAGAGTTCACCTAGTGGCGTTGGAAAACCCTGATTCCAAACCAATGGTGCACATGGGCTCCAGTATCCTGAGGGAACAAATGGCGTATGAATCAATTGTTGGTCACCGGCTACCATTGGACTGCACCTCCTTATGATGCTCCACTGCCTTGTGAATCAAACCTTTAGGTCGAAGGCCCCGGGTGTGGTCCCCTAAGAAAAGCACTTGCTGCAGTCTGGGCATCCGGGAAGTATCACAGCCCTCAAACAAATCAAGTGACTCGTGTGGTGCATATGTATTCAGTGCCCCTTTGTACCAATATTTGTGTTCAAATAAATGAATAATAATGTAATTTGACAGCATCAAATTCCATATCTTAATCTTTGCAAAACGTTAACATTAACATATAGAAAACAGATGGGACTATAATTTAAGGTCCAATTAATTAGAATCGCTTTACCTTTTTGAGTATGCAGGTAGATATCTGCATTCCTTCTACGTTGTCTGTAACTCATACTGTCTTATGCGTTGTATACTTCTTCATTTTATTTGATCTTCTTGTTTAAAGGAGCTGCATTTATGAAGATTTTAAATAAACAGTTGTATTGTAATGAACTATCACACTAATACATTTGCTTGTGTTCCACTTTAAAATAGTAACATGTAAATCGCTGCAAAAGAGTAATAATTAAGTCCAGGTTTGTGTATACACTCTCAAACTACACTGATTGTTTGAAACCTACATATACTACCCGATCATATTGTTCTGAATTTGATCCACCCTTTTTCTGAAATTATTCACATTAACGACTGAATCATATTAACATAATTTTTGAAAATTTCTAGGAAAAATCATACACAAATCAAGAAATATAGAATAAGTAAGGCTAAAAAATAAGGACTTTTATAACTATTTGACGAACGCACTTGCTTCATAATTGTTAATTTTAAGCTATTTTACTGAAATCTTATGATCATTTTTTATGTTATCTAATTATTAAGTCAACATTCCTATATTCACCAGGTTTATGGATTAGTTTTGTTGTTAAACCACTATTTTCTTTTTTCTTGCAGCATACGTGCTTCAGTATTGATGTTGATCATCTAAGCAACATCAACGATCCTTATGAGCACAGGTTTATAATATCAGTGTACTTGTTTTACCATTTTTCAAACATTAACCCACAGATTTCTTTATGCGTTTCCATTTTATTTGTTTTTAACTTTGAGATTAACATATCTGAAATTTATAGGTGGCTACAAATACTGAGACGAGTAAAAATGTTGGCCACGCGATTCTCTATGAAATTGTGTTAACAATAATGGGAATAGAATCAGATCCAGGATTGCGAGTACGTTTGTTGTGAGGATATTATTTTTGTGCTTTTTTATGATAAACATAACCATTGAACAGTTTAGTATACTTAATAGTTTGTTTACTTTTATATATTGCTTCAGAATTAAATATTAAGATGAGTAGTAACATTTAATGGATGTTTAATAATCTATCATCAAGCAGACGAAACTATAATTTGGGGTCATAGTCATTCAAGTTAGATTTCCTTGGTTAATATTCAGACAAATATTTACACTTCTTAATTCGAGAATATACTTTGAACCATTTTCTTCACTGTTTGTTACCACTCTGGTATCACTGTGTACCCGAAGAATCGTAATTTTGTTTTAAATACAGTAATTATCCATGATCATTTAGAGAAGTTTAGTTGTTTACTGTTTTTGGATTTATTTTACGGAGAAACTTGCTAGGGTTCATAAATACGGATTACAAGTTATTCAAAGATAAACTAACGTTTAGTGCTTGCTATTGCTCGTCCATTGGGTTTTAACTGACAATTTCCTAGCTTCTAGTAAGGCATTCGACCTAAAACCATTGAACCACAAGCTCAAATCCCACTCTATGTACTTGGATTTGGAAAACGGGGTGGTAGTATCACTATCTGTTACACTTAGAGCGTGGCTGGAAGCAAAGTGCAAAACTCTATCGGATAAATGAATGAAATGAAATTAGTCTTTAGGAAGTATACTAGTGTGTGTGGCTTTTTAACAGCTATAGAAATTACTATAAAAGGAGCGTTCTCTTATCCATTTATGTTCTAATTCTTCTAAAGGTTCTTGCCATAAACATTTTGGGTCGGTTTCTACTAAATACGGACAAAGATATTCGCTACGTCGCTCTCAATACTTTGTTGAGAGTTGTATATGCTGATTCTAAAGCTGTACAGAGGCACAGATTGACAATATTGGATTGCTTGAAGGATCCTGATGTTTCGATACAAAGGTTAGTCGATTTTTGTAAATGTGAATGTTGAGTAAGAATAATGTCATTCAATTTTTAATAAAAAGGCTTCACCATATGTTTCAATAAAAACTGACGACCATTACATCGTAACTATCCAATTCTATTGTTATGGTTCTGTTATAACGCTCGGTTTTCCATGTCTACACGAATGGAACGTTAATTTGCCTTAGACGAATATCTATACTAGATTCCATCCCGACGTCTATTCTACAGGACTTCAACACAACTCGAACGCGAGATTAGCCTGACTAGAACGTAAATATATTTCCACATCAAAAACTTACAACAAGCCGACACACTCCAACAACAGTCAATATTAATTTTAAGGATATGAGGATATATAACTCATCTAACGCCTGTCAAACTATCATCTAAAAGTCTGACTAAGCTAACAACCAATCATTATCATCCTCGTCCACACATCAGGTTCTCTTCACTTAGGTTTTATAAGTTCATGAGAGATATGTGAATCTTCTTTCTACGTTCAAAATATATCCTAACTGACTACTGGTAATCAATGTTTACTTAATCTTATTTAGGTTTCTGCGTTCAACAGTAACAAATATGTATACTGTACAATTTTCTAGTAAAATTACCATCATGTTTAAACATTTTTCAATGTTGTGTAGTTAAACTGATGACTTTTTTTACTTCAACAGGCGTGCTATCGATTTATGTTTTGCATTAACAAATCATACAAATGTTTGTTCAATGGCCAAGGAACTTCTACTTTATTTACAGAGTTGTGATAATGAATTCAAAGGCGATGTTTGTTCAAATATCTCAATAGCAGCGGAGAAATATGCTCCAAATAAGAGATGGCATGTGGACACCATGATGAAATTGTTGACCACTGTAGGTTTTATTTTGGTTTGGAATTTCTTGGATAATTTGTAGATATATAAATTAAATTCAAATTCCCTCGTGAGATGTTTTAAAAGACCATTTATTGTATCGTAATACCCGTCGTTGCTCTTGTAATTTTCGGTGTTCTCCTCTGGATTAATAGCCTAATTTTTTCTTATGGTTGTCATATGTCGTTGTTTTGTCAGCATTTATCTAAAATTTATAAATCTTTTAGGATATTCATAAGCTGTTTAATTCAGTTGGTTTTGTTTTATAAAAATTACAAAGCTATGTACATAAATTTTTTAATCCCTTATTGTTTTGTTGTTTATTTCTTCGCTTTAGTATTTTGCGAAACTCCATCAGTAAGGAAAGCCTATATTATTGGAAAGGTAGATGGAAATTTTGTAAAATCTGTCATCTGTAAATAGGGTTTGGAATTTTTTCTGTTGGATTGGATCAGTTGATCCCTGTGTACTAATGCCTGGACATATTGTCCGAGATATATTTTTGTAAGTAGTTCAGATTAGGTGGTTTAATGTTTTAAAATCGTTGCCACATTTACCATCACAAGCTTGAATGCTGTTGATAAATAAATTGCACTAATCAAACTCAATTCGGTTTCTGCGAGAATTCTTTTTAGAAATCTAAAAGGTACTTCTAAAATTTTGACTTTCCTTTTAGCTGTTATCATTTGCATTCCCCAATTTTACGTTATTATTGTGATAGGCTGGAAACTATGCTCGGGATGATGTCGTCTCATCTCTAGTTAGCCTGATTTCTCAAAATCCTAGTCTACACGCGTACGCTACCGTTCAGCTTTTCAGTGCTATGAATGGAGCTATGTCTCAACAACCTTTGGTTCAGGTATGTTGTAATTTCTTTCTATATTACTTCTCAATTTTTCTGGTTAAACTAAACCACGAAATATTGTCAAATTTGGATTTCAGGTGTCAGTACTGTATCTTAAGTTCTCAGTATTCAGTAATATAGTTGAAGTGTTCCAAATCGAATAGTGAAATAAGTACGTCTAAATTAAAGAGAAGCAATTAATGTTTGAGTTGATAGTAAAGCAGAACAAGCAATTTAAGTTCAGTGTTCGTTCTTAAAGATAATTAGTCTTCATTAGTTTCCTAAGGCTAATTTTTAATGCAATTTGAAAGCTTTTTCTGGATTGTAGTTCTACCTTAATGGAATTTGTCATAACGGCGTATGTTGTAATAATGTTATGCTTTAGGAAATTCGAACACGAGAACTTTCACATTTTTTTCCTCGCAGACAAAAATAGTACTAGTTTATTTACACTTACTTGTTAAATGTTTATTGGTGTTCAATTTATTTCGTTCTCTTTAAGCTCACTGATGCAGCTTGGTAACTGTTATTTATAGATTTTATGTAGTTCATCGACATACTTGAAGTTTTCCATTATTTCTCGCTATGTAGAAATAAAAAAATTATACTTTTAATCAGTTGAGCAAATTAGATAGTAACAGCATAGATTTCTACCCTCATAGCAACAAGGGAAATGTTTTTCGACCTATCTGTTTAAGGCATAAATAACTCAAACAAGTGAAAAATCTAATCAAATTCTACTTTTCAGCTTCTTTAAATATATAGAACGTAGTATATAGTTATAAATCTTTTGTGTCTCTGGAAACAACTGGTTTTTGTATTAGATTATGATGAATTTACTCCAGGTAGCAAACATTTAACTAACTGAGGATCTTGATGCTTATAAAACAACCGACAACCTATCATTTTTAAATGTACATAAAATTAATTTTGTACACTGAAAAGTTTTACCAGTTTTTAATGGCTTTTACATTGAGTTATGTTATTATTGTTATAACAGCTTGATGTATTTGTCGTTCTGATCACGTCATTGTAACTTTGTTTCTAATTCTTTCTTGGTCGTTTTAATTGTTATCATTCCACAAAACAGGTTTTAAATTTTTATTTAGGAGTTTTTCATTCTAGTTAAAGTTATATGCCATACTTGCGAAGTAAATTTATCATTTCTCACCAAATACTTAAAAAAAATTTATAGGTCGCTTGTTGGACAATCGGGGAATATGGGGATTTGTTGGTTTCTCCAGAACCTTCAGAAGATATTCCACAGCCAGTTACTGAATTAGAATTGATTACTGTGTTACAGCGTGCTCTGGTTAGTGTGACTTCAACAGTGCAAACAAAACAAATGGTTATAAACACACTTGTTAAACTAACCACACGTTTTACTCCAACACATTTAGAGTAAGTTTTCAATAACATTATTTCATATTTACTTACTTACATCTGTTACTCCTCGTGAAGGGGCTTGGGCGACCACCAGCATTCTCCATCCAACTCTGTTATGGGAAATCATTCTCAGTTGCTATTCATCTTGTTTATGTGTGTTTCCGATTGTCGACGCTGTGTGTTCTTTGACCTTCCTCTTTTCCGTTTACCTTCAGGATTCTATGTTAGGGCTTGTCTCGTGATGCAATTTGATGATTTCCGCAATATATGTCCTATATACTGCCAACATCTTTTCCTAATTTCCTCCTCAGATCGAAGCTGGTTTGTTCTCTCTCACAGTAGGCTATTGCTGATGGTATCCGGTCAACGGACATTGAGTATTTTACGTAAACAATTGTTTATAAATACTTGTACCATTCTGGTGATGGTTGTGGTAGTGTTGGGGATGTCAAATCCCCAGAACTTACTTGGTAAATGGCTTAATCTTGTAATTTTATTTTGAAAATTTGAATTTAGCTGTTTTCGCGCCAAAAGCGCTCTTTTTACCTTCACGTCATTTTCCCACTTGTAAACTATCTTAACGCTATTGGTCCTTTGTTTCTTTATGTGTGCTATTTACTAATGATGCTCAAGGACAATTTGTTACTGTATAAATGCGCTTGACTTTTCCCCTTATTTGATTGCTTGTACTCGGCTGCTTACGGAATACATATATATTCCCCTACTTGCCTTGGACTTCTTCATCTAGTTAGCGGGGCCTGGGACAACCGATTAGAATAGCTTATCGTGTCATTGGCTCTCGTTCGTTACCGCGTAATCGATTTAGTTTCAGGCATAACAGGTAGTTCTCCAAGTTTCAGTTCAATACAGTAGAACTGTCTTGACGTTCATATTGAAGATTCTCACTTTGATGTTGGATGACAGTTGTTTTGAGTTCCACATGTTCTTCAAGTGTAGGAATGCTGTCCTTGCTTTACCAATCCTATCCACACTGCCAAATGCTTTCTCATAGTTGATGTAAAGTGACGCGTTCCATTCGATTGATTGCCCAACAGTGATCTGTAGTGTAGTGATTTGGTCTGTGCACGACCTATCATATCTCGTAGCTGGATGCCTACTGAATCTTTCATGCGGTTCAGCAACATTGTCGAAAACGTTTTCTGGTACTGACAGTAGTGTGATGCCCCTGCAGTTTTCACACTTGCTCAGATTTTCTTTCTCTGGTATCGTGATGAGGTATCCTTCTTTCCACTCTGTCAGTGGAAGTAGCCTTAAAAAAGCTACAGGAGTAATATAACTACCCGAGTGTCATTTTTATTTTAAATCTCGTTTTTTTCTCTTAATTTAGTCATATTGTAACACGAGCCATAATTTTCTTCCTTACTATTGATTTTATACTACTTTGTTGTTGCAGAAAACTGAAAGAACTCATTAGCTTTTATTCGACTAATGTGAATCTAGAGCTGCAACAACGATCTGTTGAATACAGCAAAATTTGTTCACAACCTATAAGTATTCGTGGTGGTTTACTTGATTGCATGCCAGTACTACCAACAAATGCTTTGTCTGGAACTTCGAATCCAGATAACCTGAGTCGTGGAATTAATGAATGTGATGTCATCGAAACTGAAGAAAGTAACACCGGAGGTGCAAAAACTCCATCAATTAATGGTTCAACTAATCAGTCGCTTACGATTTTCGATTTATTGGGTCCAGAAAGTGAACCTGATTCTCATATGAGTAAGCACTATATTTTATATCCTATAAGGGATAATTTTAGTGAGAATTACTTCTCAAGTGTATGTTTTAATCTATCTATTTATCTCATAAACAACTTTGGTTATTATCCACTGCATATATGCTCATTTATTGAGCAAAATTTCTATGATTCTATTATTTCTCATTTCCTTTCATGTTAATCTTCTCTTTCTCCTTGGGACACTTGTTGGATTATCATTTCTACATCAAGTTTTAATTTCATGAATGATGTATGAATCAGATCCTCTGAATGAAGAGATAGAATTCAACTTCTTCTGATTACCTACTTGTATTACGTTTATCTTTTATTTTAATAGCTCAAAGCGCGACCACGAATCATTCTGATACTGGGACTAATTTACTAGATCTTCTTGATGTATTTGCTCCATCTGAAACCAAAGTGTCTAACAATACTCAAAATGCACCAGGATTTTCAGGTGATTTATTTGGCACTAAAAATGGTTACGGTGCCCCTATCATTCAACCTGCTCCGCAGCCTTCTGTCTTGGATTTCGACTTTGTCAATAATTCCGGTCCAGGTTTGACAAATCAAGGTCAGTTAACCTATATTTTCTGCTGCTTCATAATTGATAGGGACCAATAATTATACGACTTTACTAGTTCTCTCTTGTCTGCATAGTAAACTAATAATAAAATTTAAGTTGTCGACTGATATGAGCAATTCTTTTATCGCACCTGTATTCGACTACGATTTTTAAAGAAAGGAGAATCACTATTTTCTCGGTAAAACATTTTCTCATCTCAATACCTTTCACTTTTAGTACCATGGATAGTATATAATTGTTTATTTTTTAGTTTACTTCACTATGTAGTTTTTTTCCACACATCTATCCATTAACAGAAGTTATAACCTAAACCTTTTATTGGTTGTCTACTAATTACTAAGACTCAGTACATTCACTTAGATATTTTCTACCTTAATTATAAAGGAGTATGTTATATCCAAGGTAAGATATTTCCAGCACCTTTTATCTTCTAGAGAGCTACATTTTTTGGAGATACTGGTTATCTTTGGGAAACATCTTATTATCTCCACATTTCAGTAAATTTTCATTTCGGTGCTGTATTTAGCAACTTTTAGTCTTACATCACTCCAGTCAATAAAGCTCATTTGTGAATATGCATTGAGTAGGTCCGACTACCCACCCCCATCATGGTATCATCGCCAGTCGAGTATGTTTCCCTAGGAAATATGTACGTTTCTTATATTTTATGGGATAATTGGAGACTTTTGTTCGGTGGTCAATGTCCTATGAGGGTAACAGGCATAAGTAAATAAGCAAAATGGTAAGATATATCTATGAGAACGAAAGTTGAATATGTATGCTCAATTATAACAACTACTAAACATCTAATTTCTCTACAATTTTATTAGTGAAGAGATATATACTCCCTGGTGTAAGCTTTTTCAAGGCAGTATAAGAGGAGATGTTATTATCTACGTACCACACAAGCAATCGTACTGATTTTATTTCTCAGATAGGTTTTAGAAAGTCAGTCAGTCAGCTACAACGTAGGACCAGGCACATTTATACATCGGTCCAAGTTGCCATACCTCGTTAGCACAACAAGATGAACACTGGGTTCATAGAAGTAATTAATTTAGTGGTGGTAGTAGTATATAAATTATAGGTTGTATATAAGGATATAGTACAGGAAGGAGGAGAGATATGAAGCAATTTTAGTCTCAAGGTTTAAAGGAAGATAACGAGTGTATACACCTACGCCGTTGTGATCGATTATGAGCCATGTCACCTAGAGTCTCCAACCATTGGTTACGATAGTCACGCGGACCCCAACCAGGTAGTCTGCATCTGCCAACATGGCTCAGACTAGAAGTTAGTGACTTCAAACACTGATGCCATGTTTTGGTTTGGCCGCCCCTAACTCTCTTCCAACAATCCCCTACACTAGTCATCATAGCGCGTCGTGGTAATCGGTGTTCAGGCATACGTAACACATGGCCCAACCATCTCCGTCGATGAAGATTCATCACCTCATCAACTGATTTACCATCGTTCCCTAATACCCTGCGTCTAACCTCACTATTACTTACCCGGTGATCCCAGCAGATGCGTGCAATATTTCTAAGACATCTGTGGTCAAATACTAGTAACCTACGAGTATCTTCTACTCTTAATGGCCATGTTTCAAGTTGGCAGAAGCCAAATGAGCTTTTTGAATCCGTGCTGAGATTTCGTCACACACCAACCCATTAGGGCTGATCAGACTTCCAAGATAAGTGAAGTTGTCAACGCGTTCGACTACTTCACTCCCTATCCTTAGTTCAGGTGTTGATGCAGGCCAGTCCTGGAGTAACAATTTACATTTGGATGGGGAGAATCGCATCCCAAACATCCTGGCATTATTACTGAGTTCCAACAGAAGACTCTGCATTTTGCCAGCGTCTTCACCAAACAGGACTATGTCATCTGCGTATTCTAAGTCGCTTAGTGGTCCCCCTGGTAGATCAATTCCTGTAAATTCAGTCGAAGAGAGTGTTATTTCCAGCAACAGGTCTATAATGAAGTTAAACAAAAATGGGGATAGTGGACAGCCTTGACGGACACCACTTGAGGTTGTAAAATCATATGACAGTTCGCCATAAGCTCTCACTCGATTGGTAGTGTTCGAGTAAAGAGCCTTCACAAGGTTTATGTACTTCTCAGGTACACCTTTCAATGACAGACACTGCCACAGAACCTCTCGGTCTACAGAGTCAAATGCTGCTTTCAAGTCAAGAAAAACTATCATTGTCGGACGCCGATAAGCGTGTCTGTGCTCTGAAACTTGACGAATGGTGAATATGTGGTCGATACAGCCACGACCAGGTCTGAAGCCAGCCTGATTTTCTCGTGTTTGCAGTTCACGAGTCTTAGTTAGGCGCCCGATAATTATTGAGGCTAGTATTTTAGATGCTATGTTGGTCAGACTAATCCCTCTATGGTTATCGCAGGATGATTTTGACCCCTTTTTATATATTGGGACAATCAGTGATTGTGACCAGTCGGATGGGATTACATCCGTCTCCCAGATTTTAGCCAGAATATTAGTCAACCTAATCGCTAAAATCGGACCACCATATTTAAAGACCTCTGTAGCCAATCCATCTGGACCAGCTGCTCTTCCTCGTTTCAGATTGCCTATAGCCTTTTGAACTTCAAGTAGGGTCGGGGGGCCTACTTCAATGTTCCATTCAGGTTTTCTAGGAATAGTGGGTAGTTGTGCAGTAGCTGAGGGCCAGCTAAACTGCTCCTTAAAGTGTTCCGCCCATCGTTCTAAACGTCTGGGCTGAGAGCAGATAAGGGTTCCGTCTTTTTCGGAGATTGTCTCACTTACACTTGACTTCTTAATTCCGGTTTCTTTTATTAGTCTGAATAGTTGCCTGGTGTTCCCTACAGCCGCTGCCTTTTCCATCTCTTTTGCTTTCGTTGCCCACCACTGCTCACGATCGTTCCTTAGACTTTTAGTTAACCTAGATCTAATTTCTTTACGCTCTTCGTCATGTTCAGAGCCTGATGGGATGAGTTTACGCGAATCCATCAGTGAAATAGACTTAGAAGAAATCCATTGGTTTTTTGGAGCCCTATGGTTTAAATGACTAATAGATGTAACTGCTGTTTCCACAGCTGTTCGTATGTCTTTCCAAGCAGCATCTGTGTCAGTCTTGTTTACAGAACTGCCTAGATGTGAACTCAGTTGTTTCTGGAATTCGCATTTGGCTTTCTCGTCCTCCAGTTCAATCCTAATGGGTCTTCTTAGTGTACTTTTCCTGCATCCATTGAGGCGCAGACAAATGCGCGCTCGTATTAAAGCGTGATCAGAGTCTAAACAAGTATTCCAATACGAGCGACAATCTTCTATTGAGCCTCTCCAACGATGACTGATGACAATATGGTCTATTTGAGTCCATCGTTGGTTTGGTGCAGGTGGTCGCCATGTTAGACGATGTCTCTCCTTATGTTTAAAATTAGTGCTTGCTAAAAATAAACGATTGTCTGAGCATAGTTGCAACAGACGATCACCATTATCGGTTCGTTGAGCCGGAATACTAAAACACCCACCTAAATGTCTTTCTGTTTGATTCAAGCTGCCTACCTGGGCATTAAAGTCACCCGCTATGAGTACTATGTCTGAGCGCTTAGCTTTCTGAAGAAGCTCTAAGAGCTTTCTGTAAAAGTCATCTTTCATTTCATCATGGCTGCAGTCGGTGGGAGCGTAGGCAGAAACGACGAAAAGGCAACGACGTGTGTCCCTATCCTTCCGAGTTCTTACGGAGCCATTCAGCCGGACAGCACACAGGCGACTGTTAACGGGGATCCATTCTAATAGTGCCTGTTCTGCCCTTGTACTTAGTGCTATGCCTACGCCTGCAAGTCCGCGAGAACTGGCCAACGAGTCGCCAGATACACGGAGGGTGTATTTCGTTGGCTGTCCATTTTGGCGAGGTGAGGTCAAGTGAATGACCACACTGGGATCCTGTATGCGTGTTTCGGAGACACAGCATACATCAATGGTACGAGATTCTAGGGTTTTAGCTAAGGAGGCCTGTTGACCGATTTGGCATAGGGTACGTACGTTGAAGGCTCCAATGTGTAGTTTGGAGCGAGGTTTAAGTAGACCTGGGACAGCGTTCCGCGCACTAGAATCGTTGGCCATGGTGACACTTGAGGAGGAAACCGGAACAGGAAGTTTAGCGTTGAAAGTCAAGGTAGAAGGAATAGTAGGAATTGAAGGAGATTGATTATGAATACGGTGGTCTTGAGTACTGTTAGAGGTATGAGGGCAGTTATCACTTCCCGGTTGCCCACACCGTGGAAGGGTTCTCCTGGGGGTACCTGAAAAGGAAATTGGGTTAGAAGTGGTCTTAATGACCTGAGAGCGTGACCGCAGTGCCCAAGGGACAACTGCTTGAGGCCGGTCACACACGACCTTTTTGTGGGTAGTTTTTGTATTAGCTCCGTTCTTCAAAAAAACCTTACCGCCGGAGACGGAAATCCGTGGGATAAGGCGAGGTGTGCATTTTTAGGGCCGACCTTTTCTAACCCCACCCCTCCTTGTGGGAAGGCAGCATCGCTGTCATGCTGGTTGTCTGAAGGAAACACCTTACTGCAGTCACACCTCTGTACAGTCGGCAGTACGACTTCGCCTTCGGACCTTGGGTTTGCTGCTTTTAGTCTCACCGCTCTTCAACCGACCTGTCTGGCATGGTAGGACCTTGAGGAACGATTGTTCCAACCAGCATAGCTCGATTGCTTCATCACGATAGGCAAGCCCGACCACCACGTCAAGGTAGCAGCAACGGCCGGGAGGTTTTAGAAAATTATTTCGGAGTCTCGAAAGTACACTTGCAAAGTAGTTCGTATTTCCAGAGAAAGTGTAAACAGTTGTAGACGAAGTAGTGGAATATCAGGCCTGCCATCTTTTCAAAGTAAATGTTTGCGATCCCGTGTACTTCATGACTATTTAAAACTTTATATCATGTTATGGCCTTACTAACTTGGAGGATAGATGGACGAAATAGATTATATAGTGCTACTGATGTTTTGCGTGACTTCTGAACCAGTTCTATCATTATTATTGTTATTTATTATTATTATTTTTAATTTGAAAAAACCACCGAAAAGGTTTTGAATAGTTCTAGAGTCGTTTATAAATGAACCTTTATTCAAGAATCAGGGGTTATCTCGACTTTTGTGATTATCTAATTCATGTATTTAAACGGAAAACTAAGTTTTTATACTCCTAAATTGCTAGCAAGTGCTGGCAATGCATAAATTAATAGCTTTTAACCTTTGAGTTTTTGTAGTTTGATTAAAAATTATAGTTATTTGTACAACTGTACAAAAATCATTGTACCTAAAGTAATGTTTCTGAAGGCATCTTAATTTATTACGATAGTTAACTGGTATGAATATTCCATTAGACCTAATAGTCTTGTATCTTTGAAAGGTCGAATGGAATGTAAGCGCAAAATAGTGATTTGATTGAATTTGTCCAGTCCATCTACGCGACCACTACTGGAGTATTTACTCCAATACCTTATCAGGGTTTCCAGGAAGTCTCGATAGTAAGTAATTTTTTTGTATGGGGAAGGTATTATTAGGATTGATAGTAATTAAAAGAGAACCGACATCTATTATCTGTTTACTGATTTTAATTTCGTGTTAACTTTTGCAGATAGTGACAATATTTCGACGGAAAACTAGGTTGACGGTGTTATCTTGTTGAAATGTGACCAATAGTTTGTGTCTAGTATAGCTACGAATTCTTTATCACTGGACTGATCTATACGAGTAGTCTAAATTATATCTCAGTATTTGATGTCTCCTCTATTGACTTTTACAGCAAAATTTAAAACAGGAGTATGTGTAAATGCACTAGAAATCAGATCGTTCACAGTAGTCAAAGTGTCTAGAGCTTTACATACACAACGCAGAAGTATACTGTGGCTCGTGGGGGTTTTCTGAGATTCAAACTGATTTTATTAGTGTTGAGAACACTTTTCAACTTTATCAACTAGACAATCCAGTGCGTAAAATAGACATCCACCTCTACGTTCATGTTCCGTATTGCATGAAAATAGTAGATAGCTCTGAATATTTAATTCTGAATCAGAAATAAAAGGGCTCCTTTATTCTGTAACCATTACAAAAGATGATGTGGCTGGTAAGAGTATGGTTTATAAAATCGCAGTTTTATTGGAAATTGAATGTGCATTGTTAAGCAATAAGTCTAAGAAGTGTGAATTTTTAAAAAGGCCGATATGTTATGTATTCCAGTCATGCGTGTTTATCCCCATTCCACACAATTTCGTAATGATTTTAAAAACTCGTAATGTTATTGGCATACTCAGTGAAGTAGCCAAAAAAGTTGAAATACAGCACATTTTCTAGTTAATATGAGTTTAAGTAATGATCTAAAGTAAATATTTTCTTATGTCACAATGTCGTCACAAGCAATCATTCATTTTTACATTAACGTTACTGGTTGAATATCTCATTCTAATACCATTAACTACGAGGACATTGCAGAAAACGGTGTATACATTTATTAGTTGATTTATTTAAAGTATAATTCATTTTCACATTCATTTTATAAACGTAATTCACTCATTGATAAGAAGCTGTAGAAATCACAGATAAGTGTGAATGTTATCTCGTTACCCATTGTTTGGTTCCATGGTATGTTTTAAGTTACAGTAATGAATTATGAGGCTTAAATTTACTTTGTTGATATGAGTTCCATTTTAACATAAATTTCGTTTGTTTACTTTGTTAAGTAAATCTTAACCAGGAAAATTTCTTACAACTACTGGATAGTTTTAGAATAGGCGGCCCAAAAGTTTGAGCAAACAACCGTGGAAGAATTTCTTCGAATTGAGTGGTCAAAATACATTACTTAATTAACTTGTTTCTGAAAATTTGCTGGATTTCAAGAAGAATGAACGAATTAAATTATCATACCTAATAAGCAATAGTGTATATTGATTTAATTCAGTGATGAAGGTTGGTCATTCAATGCTTTCATGAACTGGTCCCTGTTATGTCCTTAACTTATACGATTGCCAAATTTAGATGCGCGGACTTGTACGACCAACAAATGATGCATATACCTGAACGAGCGTCCTAGAGTCTCGATTGGTCCTTCGTTTTGTCTGTTAAGTCCAGAACACAGTGTATGATGCTGTTATTGCTTGTGGAGGTAATGAACTCATGACTAACAGTACAAGTCATGTGTTGCTAAGATACCTTCGCCACATGACTGGTCTCTATCAGTAACCCAGTTTATTCCAGGATAGTTTAAGTACTTCTAATGCTATACAGGCTTTAATGCTCCTCTGGGAGACTTAATATTATAATCTTTTGAAGATTGCATCATACTAAAATTTTTCTCCAATAAATTAGAGCTCGGATTAGCCCGCGATAAGTTTGTACCACAAATGTGTGTTTGTGAAGAATCAATAAAACTTGCTATAGTCTCTGCAACCCTTTTTGATTTGTTCTTATTCGCAAATCTTTGGATGGCAGTTTTATCTTGATATATACGAACATTTTTTTGACAGTAGATGCAACAAATAGCTGTTCATAATCTTTCAGTTCTGCAACTGAATGAGAAGAAAATCTGAACAAGGTCTGGCATGAGTACGTTACGCATTGTTGGTACAACGGATATATTGGCACGAGCTGTCCAGAAGACTAACTGCTTTCAATATCGAGTACCTAACAGAATTGAGCGGGGCGGGGGTATCAGGAATATTCCTAATAATCACAATATTTCCAAAGACCATTCACTTAGTAACTTCTTTAGCTATAAAATTAGTGACGAGATCAGCTTCAACCACATCACACTGTGTTGAAATTCCATTTTGTAGCGTATATCGCTTGCTTGCTTTCTTTACAGAATTATGACAAAGTGACCAATTGTCTCCGAATGTACAGTCACAATGAATTATTCAATAAAAGAGGAAATCAAATAAGTAACTGAATACTGAATGAATTTATACAATTAGAAACAAACTAAGAATCAATAAACAAAATACACGCGAAGTTAAGTGAAAGAAAATCATTTAAAACTGATATACGAATTTTCGGATTGATTTTCTTCATGTATTTAGAAATATAACATCATCAACTATGACATTTCGCATTACCCATTGTTTAAATTTCGTCGGAAGTCAATAATATTGTATGTTCTTATGTATTTATTTTTCGTTTTATTTCAGTATTTCAAAATAGATATCACGAATACAACACTAAATAGTTTCATTTTCGTAACTTTATCCGTTCTTAAAGTGTAATATTATCACTTTTCATGTGGAGTACAACTTTTTTAACGGAGTAATTGATAGTTTGTAATCTCCATTCAATTTCTACAACAATTTCTTTATTTAGTCTCGTCAATTCCATCCACCACGATATACAATTCAAATGAGATAAAAATTGTATTCAACTTCGTGCCTTCCGCTGTACTAGATGGTCAATTTAACATAATCACAATACAGTTAGTGGCAACTACTACAAGTCTTCAGCCAATTAATTCTTTTGAATTTCAGGCTGCTGTACCCAAATCTTGTCAGTTACAGCTTTTCCCACCATCGTCTAGTTTTATTTCATGCGGCCCTAACTCTACTCCGCTAACACAAGTGTTGAAGCTTAGCATTCCACCGAAGGTAAACTTGGTTGTTTCTTTAATTTGTTCGTTAATTCAACAGAAGCACTTCAGATACACTTACCTGTTTTATATTGTTATGTTACGTAAAACTAACTCAGTCATCAGGCCGAGGATGGTTCGAGTCAATTGAATCAATTGAAGCTAGATCACCATGGAAAACCTGGAAGCACGCTTTCAACTATGAAAATACTAAATCTCCACAAAACCCCTTCTGATAATTAATATTATCATATGCTCACTAGTGACTGACTTCGAGAAGTACATCCAGGAGTTCTATTGAGAAGCAGTGACCAGTGGAGTTCAAACCACGCCTGTTGTGAGATAGGAACTTACTGAAGACAATTTATGAACGGTTGCTCAACTTCGTGGATCAGTTGAAGTTAGACATTAACACCGTTGGATGCCGGCTCAGTGGTCTATCGGTTAAGGGCTCTGGCTCGAGACTGGTAGGTCCTGGGCTCGAATCTAGCGAGTGCGGGATTGTGAGTGCGCACTGCTGAGGAGTCCCATAATAGGACGAAACGGACATCCAGGTTTTTCATGGTGGTCTAGCTTCAATTGACTCATGCTTTCAACTATGAAAATACTGAATCTCCACAAAACCCCTTCTGATAATTAATATAGTTTTTTCCTGGAGTGGTTTATGCAGTTTTCCCTTACATTCGTCTTTGGATCAACGTTTATTAATAAAAAGAAATGTATGTCATTTATCATCAGTCTTTAGTCATATTGGTGGCCTTCTTGAACATTGGGCCACTTGTTCCTGCCATCTAGATATTTCAACAAGTTATCAAATTTTATTTGTTTTAATGTATCATTATGGCTGTTAATTACATAACCTACTCAGGTGCATTTCTGAAGAGTGTACAACTTTTCGTTGTACAAGTTACAAAAGGCCTAATCAGAGTTATCGTGGTTGCTGACAATATGCAACGAATAGAACGTAAATTATTTAGATGTCGATTGACTGGACTGCTCACTTCTAACTGGTGATCACTCAATATTTATCGTCAGGATCGACCATGAAATCAGAAACGGGAACTTGTTGAAATACGTTGTGCTTAGAATTCTATATTGTACCAAAATATATTGAATATTGATAATAATAATAATAACACACAGTTATCAAGTTGCGTGTTTTTGTGAACCTGTTCCAGCTTCAGAATTCTGTTGGTTAGTTTCTCTGTTTTCTTAGCTTCTCATTATTCTGAGGCCTGTGATGCATGTGTGTTCGTACATGTGTAGAGGATAATGGTATTCAAAGTTGTTTTCATATGCTATTGAATAATTTGTTTCTTCTTACGAACATGAGGATATTAACTGTCAATTAAAGTGTAATCTTACTCATTTTCCATTTGGTTAGTTTGAAACTAAAAGCCAACTACATTTACGGTAATTTTTTAATATATAGGTACGTCCACGGATGAAGATTCGTCTGCAGTTTGTCAAAAACGGTGAGACAAAAACTGACGAGTTTCAACTCGATGACTTTCCACAAGTATTGTGGCAGTAATATTTGAAGAATCTTTTATGAACTAAACAGAACCATTCATCAACTCTCAAGTCTAACCCAGAGTAAATCTGGAGTTATTTTTATTCTGGCTGTGCTTAATCGTGTATTTATGCGAAAATCATTAATATGCTGTTTTTTGTTTGTATAAAGTGTTATGTGTACCCAAGACTGTTTATTGAAATTGCCACAGTGCCTCCATTGTTTCTTGTTATTAATTTTCAGCCAGCTCCACATTCTAATATCATGTGATTCTAATTTTTGCATATCGTTCCGGCAATATTAACAAATAAACCCGACATGCAAATTTTCACTTTATTGCTAATACTGATCTTGGGATAAATTTAATTTCTTTTATCTTTGATACACTTTTTTTTTGTTTATGTCAAAATCTTGTCTGTTTCGTGATGTTTAATGGTCTATTTTGTATCAAAAGTATTTTATTTGAGCTGACAATTACAGGTATGCGTACAATTGATATTTCAACATTCCGACTGTCTTCATGATCACATGTAACAGACTGGTCCTCTGGATTAATTAATGGTTGACCGATCGATTGCTTTTCTGTAACTTGTCAGTTTGAATTAAAATCCTAATAGAATTTCGTTCATTGTCAGTCAGTTACTCTCATGAACTCTGTGTTTGCTGCTAAAACTTTCCATGTGAAATCAAACTTTTATGCACTATTAATATTTTAAATTCTCCGTATTATAGTTTTATTTTTTTCTGTGATGCAATTATTCTGTTCATTATTTGACAACTAATTGGTTTAAAAAGGTATACTATTGTAAAACGTAAAGTTCAATATAGGTGTTCATTCAATTGTGGCAGTTATACTGTTTGCAAGTAATTACACCTTGTAGTTATGAGTTTATGGTTTTTACTTAAGCAAAATTAATTAGAGAATTTAAAATAATCATTCAACACTTAATACATTTATGCATATTTATATCTAAAACACTAGTCAAATGTTTTCAAGTGGTTTTAAGAAACATATTTTACGTGATGAAAAAACAATAAACTGTTGAGATAGTGTTCTCATTATGTCTTAATTTTCGAGTAGCGCTTTTCTTAACTCATTGTAGTCCAGAATGCGAGTCCATGACTTCTTGACCTTTAGATTTTGGAACTGAGCTCTGGTACGACCGAGTAGGGAGAGTCCGCTCTCCATCTCAAAATGCTCTCACATGGCCACGCGTATATAGCCTCTAACAGAGAAGTCCTACTCACTGCCTTCTCGTGGCATTACTGTTGTTTACGAAATTGAGAGGACGAATAGTGAATATCAGGCGCTCCAACCGGGTTGGTGGACACGGCGAGTTCACCTAGGGGAATTGGAAAACCCTGATTCCAAACCAATGGTGCACATGGGCTCCAGTATCCTGAGGGAGCAAGTGGCGTATGAATCAATCGTTGGTCACCGGCTATTATTGGACTGCATCTCCTTATGATGCTCCACTGCCTTGTGGATCAGGCCTTTAGGTCAAAGGCGGCGCATATGTATCTGGTGCTTCCTTGTACCAATATTTTTATGTTTAAGTAAATAATAAATAAGTAAACCTCAGTTTGATTCGTGTAATTAAGGCAACGACTCAAAAGTGTGCTAATGAATATTGGACAAATATATTCATATTCGCATTGTTATTCGTGGTTTTGTATTACGAAGTTTACACTGAATCACTTTAAACATTCAATGTAATTTATGTATTTCTAAGCAAATAGATGCAATACGACTACTTATAATAACAGTTCACTTATCATCTAAATTACTGAGTCTTACGATCTGTAGAATCCCGATAACAGTGTTAAGGATCATAATTTGAAATGTTGGGGCGTTTGCCTGTGATTCACATCAGATATTGCTGTAATCCTTTTGATAAATATATCTTATTCTTTGAGATACAATATAGCGTTCATAATATTCTTCTAAAAGACCGAAAAATGAATTGATTGGAAATTGTAATAGTAGTTTCACTAGATGTGTATTTAAATAGTCAAACCAATTGACATGTATAAAATAATGAACGAAATTAAAAATGGACACCGAAATATACTGAAGGGGGAGTAATATTGAATCAATACCATTCCTTAATTGTATTAGAACTACAATTATACTGGTACTAGAGTATCCAACAATTGTAATGAAAACATGGTAGACGACTATTGCATTGTATTGATCGAATTCAAATTAAATTAGGTGAAGTGTTTTTCAATGTGTTCAAAGTATCTCAAAAATTCCAAGACTCAAGAACAAAGTAGAATAATGGACAGACAGACAAAATATACTAGTAATGTGTATAAATAAAGATTTCAAGTTTAACCGTACAACTGGACACAATGGAATTAAATAATGTATTCAGCAATCCGTTCTCTTATTTTGAAATCAGTATACAGTTTTGTGGATTCGTCATTTTTTAAAATATTGATAACAGCAATAAGCTAATTTCCATAAGCGTTAGTTTTATAAGTTGTGGCCTGTGTTCCCTGTTGCTGTATATCGTAATGATACCGCCAACTAGAGAGCAGTGATTTATCGATCGGGCCAATGACGCGTAAAACCCTTGCGAGCAGTCTGGAGTACTTGTCGGTCCTAATTTCTGCCTAGCCCAGCCATTTATGTCCGGGACAACAATCTCAGCCTCTTCGGTATAAATCATTTATTTCAAACATACTTCGTTTATATACCAACCAGACCACGTCGTACCATAAAATAGGAAACAAGATTTAGCCAAATGAAACGCTTAATAGAAGGGACATGAATATGGAAAGTTCAGTTACATAACCATTATACGATAAAATATAGTCAACGTATTGGTCCATAACTAGATCTCTAAAGTTAGCATTCATTATTCTTATCAGAATATAACAGTTACGACTCATCGAAGAAATGAAATCGACCTAGATTAGAATTTCATTTAAAACATAGAAGCACTGAACAGCCATTTTGTCCTACTAGCGTAATCAGCAGTACGACTGACTGGAACGTGTTTATCAAACCCAGGGATTTCGATCTCGTGTTCAAACGCTTAAACTCTAGACCACTAAGTTGGAATCTAACGGTGTTAATGTCTAACTTCAACCGATCCGCTACCACCTGTCATCTAAATTTTCTCTGTTTATGACTTAAATGAGATTCAACAATCTTCACTTCCCCTTAAAGACAACGTACTGTGTAATTGTAATGCGTATATTTCAGCAATAGCCGCTAGATTGGATGTTAAAATATCATACCTGATACATGAACCCTGAAAATCTATTTCTTACCGTTGAAGAACAGCGTATTCATTGATCAAGAAATGACCAGTCAAATGAATTATTGTGCAAGTCCAGTTCCAAAGTCAATCAACCTAATGTACAACGGTCTCTCGAGAAGTTCATCCGATTACCCAATGAGTTCATTTTGCTATGACACAGATAGAAATACATATTTGACTAATTTCCAATCTGCAATATTTGATAAGTTGGTTGTTGTTGTCCTTTAATATCAACACTAAACTCACTTGTTTTCCATCCATTACAGGTGTTTACTAAAAAATAATCTAGACTTCTAAACATCCACTCCTTGTTTCCGGATTTCATCCATCCTTGACTTTACAATATCCGCTAAACTAAGTGTCACACTACTTGTTATCTCATATCCTGTTTTATCATGTTTGCCTTCGGAATTCTCTTCATGTCTCTACTTCCTGTTTCATAGGTTTGTTTCTTTATAACCTTAAATTTATTCGTTTGTTGTTTTAATTGAGCTAATAGACTGAGAGAGAGATTCATCCCTGACAAAACTTATGCGTATTAACATTTTACGATAAACAATTTATTTAATTTGACTACGTATCTTGATTGAATGAGATTCATTTGTGATGTTAGAAATCGGAGATGATTTCATCTTGATACTTTGTACTGAATCCGAAAACAACTGCTATGTTGAACCAGGAGGGTTAGTATACTCAGAGCGCCTAAAAACTTTTATCGACTTGAACAGACTGTGAAGATTAATGTCATGTTTTTAGAAGCGGGTTATTTGGCACATAAATGATCAACGACAATACTGTCTTTGAAGTTGTGAGAATATGATTGTATTGTCGTTCTTTTAGGTGTTCAGCAAAACGATAAATAGTAGAAGATTACAAACCGAACGATACAAAATTGTACGACTCATATAATTAATATTGGATTGGAATAGAATTCTTCTTACTATCATTTACATCAGAAAAATATCTTCGTACATTGTTTTAAATAATGAGTTACTTTCACTGGCTCATTAAAATTTACTACTCGGTTAGTTGATCAGTCGTAACCCAAATGTTACAAAATCAGGAAAACTAATTCCATATATACACGTAGAACTACACCGTAGAAATAATAATTCACTAAAGAACTGCTGTTATAAATAGAACAAATAAATTATTACTAATAATAAAAAATATATAAACTTGATAAATCAAGGAAACTTTGATGACATTTGTTTTCTTATACCATCCATTCTCAGAGATATGAGTGACAACAAATTGTAAAGCATATGTAGAACGTCATTCATATAGGTGCTGCTGAAAATGAAAAAAACCTGTTTATACTGCAGTTATGTTTAATGTCAAATGCGCGAATCGACGAAGCACGAGCAGCATATCTACAATCGAAGAACATCTGGAACTCAAAACAATTGTCAACCGACACCAAGATCACAATTTTCAATATAAATGTCAAGATACTTCTACTGTATGAGGCGGAAATTTGGAGAACTACGAAAGCAATCATTCAGAAGATACAAGTATTTATTAACAATAGTCTACGCAAGATACTTCGGATCCGTTGGCCAGACGCTATAAGCAACAACCCACTGTGCGAAAGAAAAAACCAGATTCCAGTGGAGGAAGAAGTTAGAAAGAAGCGCTGGAAATGGATAGGACACACTTTGAAGAAAGCAACCGAATGCATCATAAGGCAAGCCCTTGCATGGAATCCTGAAGGCCAGAGGAGAATAGGAAGACCAAAGAACACTACGCAGAAAAAGGGAAACAGATATGAGAAGAATGAACAACAACTGGATAGAACTAGAAAGGAAGGCCTAGGACAGAGTGGGTTGGATAAGGCTGGTCGGTGATCTATGCCCCATTAGGGGTAACAGGCGTAAGGAAAAGCAAAAAAATCTTTAATGTCAACATGTCAGCTTTTATATTTCCTTGATTTATCAAGTTTATATATTTTTTATTATTAGTAATAATTTATTTGTTCTATTTATAACAGCAGTTCTTTAGTGAATTATTATTTCTACGGTGTAGTTCTACGTGTATATATGGAATTAGTTTTCCTGATTTTGTAACATTTGGGTTACGACTGATCAACTAACCGAGTAGTAAATTTTAATGAGCCAGTGAAAGTAACTCATTATTTAAAACAATGTACGAAGATATTTTTCTGATGTAAATGATAGTAAGAAGAATTCTATTCCAATCCAATATTAATTATATGAGTCGTACAATTTTGTATCGTTCGGTTTGTAATCTTCTACTATTTATCGTTTTGCTGAACACCTAAAAGAACGACAATACAATCATATTCTCACAACTTCAAAGACAGTATTGTCGTTGATCATTTATGTGCCAAATAACCCGCTTCTAAAAACATGACATTAATCTTCACAGTCTGTTCAAGTCGATAAAAGTTTTTAGGCGCTCTGAGTATACTAACCCTCCTGGTTCAACATAGCAGTTGTTTTCGGATTCAGTACAAAGTATCAAGATGAAATCATCTCCGATTTCTAACATCACAAATGAATCTCATTCAATCAAGATACGTAGTCAAATTAAATAAATTGTTTATCGTAAAATGTTAATACGCATAAGTTTTGTCAGGGATGAATCTCTCTCTCAGTCTATTAGCTCAATTAAAACAACAAACGAATAAATTTAAGGTTATAAAGAAACAAACCTATGAAACAGGAAGTAGAGACATGAAGAGAATTCCGAAGGCAAACATGATAAAACAGGATATGAGATAACAAGTAGTGTGACACTTAGTTTAGCGGATATTGTAAAGTCAA